GAATCTAAGTTGTTTACCAGTCTAAAGATGGAGATAAGATACTCTTCTGGAGCTTATGTATTATTTTTCTCTCGCAATTTAGCTCAAAATGCTCTTCACACACCGATGGCAACCGATAAATATGTTTTGCCAAATGAGCAACAATTTTTAATGGTCTCTGAAAAATACAACCCTAGAAAAACCTCGTCCAATCGTTATGAACGTCCCATTCTTAGTGATTGGATCCTGATTCACTCATTAAAACTACCATGGGACTGTCCCTCCCACTCCGCTCCTACCCAGATCACATGTTCTCGGTTTGGAGCTAAACAGGAAGCACAACCAGAGCCAGGCTAGCTATAGTAGCTAGCATACTAAATTACGTGGGTTAGCGGAAGTATCGAAGGGTGTTTCCAGCCTAATAAGCCCAGTGCTCCCCGCTGGATCTCTCATCAGGTTCCAGAAGATTTCTCTCTTAAACTTTGAGTGGGGACAGAGCCCAGAGAGCTCCTGACCTGCACCGGTCAACGAGGAGTCCGTCAGAAGCCTGGACGCTCCGTGGCTGTTACGTATGAGTTATGATTGAAAAGGGGCGACAAGGGGTCAAAAAGGTAAGATAACGTTATGTTGCTATGGTAACAGTTGCTTCCGGCGTGGTGCCATTTTCTGCAACCATCAGATTCTCTGATTCTAGGGGAGCTGGAGTTTGTTTTTTTAAATATAGCTTGCTTTAACTGCTTTTTCCAGGAAGGTCTACTCCACCTAGTGGAAAAGACAAAAAAAGAGGGCCTCAGCTGGGTTAGCTCCCATCCCTAACAACTTCATTTTTAAAACAGAATCTCCTCTTCCTAAGACCTAAACAAAAACACACACAAGTAATCACAAAATCCAATTTCCTCAGGCTGACCACTGGCAGCTCATTTTAAACAAATTGAAAAGTAATATATATTTTATGTTTGTAAATTACTCAATAAACTAAAAATAATTGGTGTCACTAAGCACCGATAAAGAGTGGGTCAGGCCGACAAACAAGCTTCAGTCCCAATTTTGGTGTTTCACACAATAAAAAATACAATTTAGAGTTTTGTTTTCATTATAGTTGCAAATCTAGTGTAGATTTAAGGTAGATTACTCGACGATTTACCTGTCAGACAGGTTTAAGCTTCATATAAATGAAATGCTGATTTTAAACTATGCAGCATTTGAGGCTTTTAAATGATCAGAGATGTTTTAGGAGAGAAGATAGCACCTCTGATTCATTCATCACCATGAAGTATTCACACAAACGTGAGAGCTACATCAAAAACTGATTAACAGAGTCCCCAGAGAGCTCACACATACTCTTTGTCGTGTTTAAGAGCCAGGTGGTCTGACTCAAAGTAATACACGTCAGGCTCCTCCCTTTCCTCCTCCTCCTCCTCTTCTGCTGCCCGGCTCCGTGTCAGCTCCTTGCTGCTCTCTGTTTCCTTGTCCTCCATAAAGCCATCACCCTTATCGCCCGCCCTGTGATCAGGATTCACAGAAAGTGGCTCCTGGCTGGAGGAGCCAACCGATTCTGTGCAAACAGGGTCCTCTGCCTTGGGACAGTCCTCCTCCACCTCTCCTCCTTCCCTTAAAGGTCCATTGTCAGTCAGAGGAGAGTTGGCTTTGGAGGGGGACGCTTTGCCAGCAGATGCAACTCTCCGAGGTGAAGTCCGGAGGGTGTATCTGTGTTCATAGAGCTCTGTGAAAGGGGACATGCTGGATATTGAAGGGTTGCACCCTGACTCTGTGGGGGAGGGGGGTGTGGTTTCTCCTGAGTAGCTGTTGATTGAACTACAGTTTAAGTTCATGGTGGAGGAGGTGGAGGACGAAGCATCCTGAACTGGTGAGGGTGGCCGACCATTGGTATCGCCATCGCTCAACGTCACCTGCTCCTCGTGGGCCAGACACAAAGTATCACCTACTACATCGACCTCCACGTCCTCCACCTCCTGCTCTTTGGCCACTATCAAGTCAGGAATGGAGTCCTCTGGAGCCTCCAAAAGCGTGGGCGCTGCTGAGGTTGAAGATTCCCCTGAGCCAGAGGTCTCCCTTTGCTCAGGGGCAGAGTTTGTAAAAGGCACAGAGGGGTCGGGGGATGAGGGAGCCCCCATCTGACTGCCGTTCAGCAGCGACGGGGCGTTAGCGGCAGAGGCGGGGTTACCACTAGGCTGTTCAGTCAGTGTGCCAGATTCATCCGCACCAGTGTCTTTGAGTCCGTTAGAAGCCTTATAAACCACCTCATCACACTCCGTGTGACCATCCTCCTCCCCCTTCCGTCCAATCACCTCACCTTCCTGCCTACATAGGACGGGGGAGGCCGGTGCTGCGTTAGTAGAATTGTGGCTGGGTAATTCTTCACAAAAGATATCCTTACAAGGCTCCGGGACAGACGCTGGACTTTCAGGTTTAAAAAGCCCATGGTCCTCTTTCTGTCCCAGAGACTCCCCAAAGCGAGAAGACCGCTTGGCCCTCTTGATCTGAGGGGAGGTATCCTGCAGCGCTTTCACTGGGTCAGAGTTCTCATAATTCTCCTGGCTGATGTCTTTTTCTAAACAGGATGCCCCTCGCTTCCTGGAAATGGTTGATTGATCTGCATCACCTGGAGAAACAATGGTGTCTGTTACGTTTCTGTGCATCCAGTCCTGCTGCTGACTGTCCTGAAAGCGAGACTCCTGTGGGTTTGTGCCCTGCGTAACGTCACACTTTGACTCCTGATCAGAGTCGTCATTTGAGTTCTTGATGGCATCCTGCTTGATGCCTTGTTTGACATCATTTGACTTCTGCTTCGACTCGTGCTTGACATCCGGTTTTGGTTCCTGCTTGGTATCGTGCCTCGACTCCTGCTTCTTCTTGGGCGAGCGTGCCCTGGGTAGCGGAGGCACCGAGGTCTCCTCTGGCTGGGCGATGCTGCGGTTCCTGAGGGTTCGACCACAAAAATTCTCATCCAATCCATTGAGCCCCACTGATGACCTTGTGACACGCGAGGAACGGGACGCGGCCATACTACGGTGGGTGCCTACAGCCTCCTCATCCTGTTGCGCTCTCCTCTGCAGCAGAACGTGGGCACCTGGGAGACACAAGCAGAGGAGGTGTCTTTACTAAGCCAGTAACAAAGCTGAAAGCCACCGACATGCCTTGCTCAGCAGTTACACTGCAGAAATAACATCACAGGGAGATATTTTGATCACATCCTATGGCACGTCTGGTTAAGAATTAATGTGGCATGTCAAACAAAAGTGTGCCTTTGTTGAGTAAATGCTTGGGTCATTTCTCAGACACCAGAGGGGTATTGATTTATATTATTGTCGTAACTAAGCAACAGCTTATGTCCAAAGACAAATCTACTCGTCTTAAACTAGGTCTGTGAAGCGGGAATGTCTAGAAGAAAGCTTTCATCCAACCTAACTGACCCAAAAAGTACATTTGGTCAATAAAATACCCCAGGACACCACAGCGGGGGGTTTCAAAACAATAAAATAACTGCCTGCAAGTATAAAAATGTCAGGAGGGAGATAGATTTTCCCATTTCCACCGGGTCAGCACAGACATTTTTCCCCCATGAAGATGTGCTTTCTGCTACAGCGAGGGCATATTTACAACCTTCCTAAGAGATTAATGTCTGTGGTCAAACAAATATGGCCGATGTCCACAGAAAAGGTTCACTGTGATTCAAAAATTATAAACTAAGAATGAAAATGAGCCTTCTGACACGATTAAAGCAACAACAAAGCCTTAAAATGCTCAGAGCCTCCGCATCAATGTGGACTTGAGTGGATCGGGACACACTACGCACTCGCACCCCTGGCCGGGATCACGCAACTGAAGGGCACAAGTGTGGAAGTATGGGTTCTGGGCCATAGACATCAGCTGGAGGAGAAAGTGGCAGGATTTTCTTATTACTTGATATTTGGACATCTCGCCTCTGATTGGATAACATCAACACGACTACCACTGACTGTTTGCTCTGCAATGAGGATGTTTTATCTCCACAAATAGCGCAAGCCTGGAGGAGCTTCTGCTGTGTGGTGGAGTTGCTAATGCTACTAGCTGAGACATTCTCTGCTGTTACCTAGACGCTAAACCAACAACAGCCTTCTCCGTCGTGAGTCGAGATGGGTGAGTCCATGAATGTTAAGTGACGGTGTGACGTAGATCTGTCAGGATTTTCTGACCCGAGCGTTCCTCTGTCTATTTTCTATCAGAAGCTAATACAGGAGATAGGTGTAGGAGACTATTTTCACATTCAGCCTGCATGAAAAACTCAGTGACTGATTATTTTCAAAAATAATAAGTAAAACATTTTTCCTCAGAGAACCTGTTCTTAAGGTTAATAGAAAAAAAGTTATTTGGAGATTCATTTGTGTATAAAGGTGCTTTTGTGCCTCAGATAAATTCATTAAAGAGCAAGTCACCCCCAAATAAACTTTTTTTCTGTTAAACTATATAAATGCATGTCTAATCATGTTGCAGACACGTATAGTCAAGTTTTGCTCTTTAGTCCACTTTAGTTAAAATTTTAATTTTCTGCCTAAAACTGTCAGTGTTGTGCCGTTGTCAGGTAAAAACTCTGCGCTGCATTTGAATTTAAATCTGCCATCGCTATTGGCTACGAGGTACCCTAGAACGTTAGCTGGTACCATATGATGTCACAATGTGTGTAATTGTCAGCGCCTCCGCCCTCTCGGTCTGCTAGGCAACAGCATTTGTTGCATTTTTCAAACAGGAAGTGGGAGTGGAGTAAAACTCTGGTAGGGGTGACTTGCTTTTTAAAGAAAAATGTTGTGATCTTATATTAATCTCCCCTGATTATACACTAATTTTTCTCCATCAAGTGACAGCATCCTCTGGATTGTGGTCCATGAAATAAATCTCACACAGAAGGACAATAAAGTGGCTTCTAGTAGGGGAAGAGCTCACTGGACGTACTTTCTCCGAAGTGGAGACATAATCTTCTACTGCATAGAAAAGACATACGGGTTCAACTGGCCTTTCAGATTTTACATTACTACCCAGTCCATCAATCTCAGGGCCAGGTTGTGTCTAACTCATTTTAAAGCTCCCTTTCCCCCTTCTGCACCATGCTTGCACAGCAATATTAAGGCCAGAGGCTACCCTGGCTACAAATTCATTTTGATTTGATTTTTACAAGAAGCTCCTACAATAGCAAGACCTGGAACAAGAATTTCCATATGCACGTATTACTCACACGCCACTAAACTCTCCAGCTGACAAAGCTAATGAGATCTGTTGAAGCAGAGAGGAGGAAAAAGTAGAGAATGAAACTAGAAAACAGAAGGACAGCAGCAGGGGGCTGGTTATTCAGACAGTGCGCTCATCCTTAAGACCACAAAACTAATTAGGACGAGGCACCTGACCCATTCTAAAAACATGGAGAAATACCACATAAAAACAAATAAAGATGATTTAGGTTAACTGGCACAGCCTCAATAGTTTATGCCGTTTCTTTACCCATGTAAGAGTTATTTTTGCACTCTAAACCCGCAGGACTAAAGTTAGAGCTCAAACTAATGTTAAACATGCCTGACAAGAGGAGTAATGACCAGAAAGTCATAAAATAATCAATTTCCCTCTGGGATTAATAAAGTATTTTGAACTTAATTGAAAACCATGAGAGCAAAAGGCTTGCATACTTCAGTCCACAGCGTTGCTTAGAAGGATCCTGATAAACGTCTTCTGGATCCCAAACTTAAATCGAAAAATGTCCGTCTGACCTACAGAACGTAACCAAAAATACTCAAGTTTCTTCAAAAGCTTTTGCTTCAGGTAAGCCTTTCAAAACCTGAAATGCAACAAATCTACAGCTGAATAAGAACAGGAAATGTTCCTGATACAAAATAAAAACAGGCATCAACAAATCTGTAGCTGAACTTGTAACTCAAGTCTGCACCAACTAACCCAAAATGACATGGGAAAACAAGAATACGCAGCTTAAATCCCAAAAAAAAAGTCAGTTACCACACAAACCAGCAGCTACATGTGTGATCTCTTACTCTGCTGTTGACAGGGCTGTTACGTCCCTCTGAACACGTTTAAAAATCTTTAAATTGCTTTTGATCTTTTTGGTGAGATCTCAGTCTTAATTACAGAATAACCACAGATAAGCACAAGGTCTTAGATGATCAAAACACAGGAAATGGTTAGTTAAAACTTATTTTAAGGCGTCAAGAGCAGAATTAAATGACCTAAAAGACTCGTGAGTCTGTAATAACCAGACTTCCTGTTTAAGTGTCAGGTTCTGGTAACACGTGTTGATCTGAACTCATCACCATCACAAATTAGCTCTAAACAATTAATACTTTATAGAAAATTAACGTAACGTGATGTATGAGATGTTGATGCTGCTAGCCCCCGCTATATTCAACACACCTCAAAAGCAAAGTGTGAATATTAGTGGACAAACCAGTTGAGTTTGAGGGATAAAATCGTGTTTAAGTGGCGTCGTGGTGCACTTGTTTATCACCGCAGCCTTTAAAGTTTAACATTTCCATGAAGGGCCTGCTGGCAACTACAAATCCGCGAAATAGTGATGGCATACGTACCGATGTGAATCGCTCAAATCCCCAACATCCCAGCTAATCAGATAAGTTGGAGACATGAAGGATGCTGTCCAACTAATGAAACTAGACGGCGATGCAACAGCACATGCTGCCGGTTAACACTAGTCTGTAGCAGGTAAACTAAAAGATTCAAACTCCAGACTCGGGGGTTTACGGAAAGCCACACACGACTGGTTTCCTGGGAGCTGAGCAAAAAAGCTAAGCGTTAGCACGGTCCAACTTCCAAAGAAAACCTCACTTCATCTAGCGTGTAGCTCATGGGCTAGCGTTAGCGAACTAACTTACCGATAGCTCTCGTGGGGAGTTGCAGATAAAACATTTACTCGTGAGAAGCCAAAACACGGTTATTAGCATCAAATATCTTTAATAGCACCCCCCACATGCCCCGTGGTTCTAAGCGCTGAAATAAACTGAGGTATAAATTTTCTGTTATGCTCGACAAGTTAGCCTAGCAGGCTAACACGATGCTGAAGTTGGTTTTTGAAATGTAGCTTCCGATTTGTCACCTGGGAAAACAATGCTAAAGCTGTTCCTAACACTTTATAATACTTACACTAGACTAAAGTTGACCTCATAATAACAGATCCAGTGCACAATCCACAAACTGGCCCAGCCAGGACTGGATTAATTACCACTAAATATAAATTAATCACAGTGCAATTTGTGAAACATCTAGTTGTAAATCAAAAACAAACAATAGTTCACAAACTGCATTAAAAACGTACTTGGCATATAATAGTCCAATCTAGATTTGGTATCCCTACGAATTAAATGTTGAACTACGCTCCAACTAAAACAGTGGAACAACCCTGTAACCAAAAATCAACTCGAAAGCTAACTTCAACTCCCTTAGGCTAACGTTAGCCGTTTCTTCTCAGCTAGTTATCCTGCAGAGAAGAACCGCGTCTAATTTACATTTACTGTCACTGATCACATGCTAGCTAGCCCAACAACTCGTAAGCGCACGATTTGGACGGGTAACATACCGACGAACGAAAGTGCCACAAACAGCGTGCTTCGCCGGGCTTTAAATATCTGCTGGAAGTACCATGATTAGCAGCTAGCTGATTGTTCCGCGCACAACTTTGCTGAGCTGTTGGTGTGCAGCTGAGAATTGTGACCACACGCATTTCTGGTGTGCAAATGAAATAAACCCAAGTTTTGATATTATTTCTATTACAAGCACCCAAAAGGAGGACCGTTTATAAACTGCGGTTTAAAGCTCGAGAATTACACATACCTCACTTCCGTACATTTGCTGCACGTTCGGCCGCAGCCATGTTTTCAAACCACTCAGGGCAGCAGTCCGGGGTGTGAGCCGACTCAGCCGCTCTTTCCAAAAACTACACCATCCTTTTCCCACATTTTTGACCTCAGCTAACACTTTAGACGTGGCTTTCCTGGTTCATATACCTTTATAAGACATATTACATTTTGGATTTCAGGTATGGTGCATAAACTTAGAAGCACAGCGGATTTTCATCAAGTTTTAATAGTCAGCCAGCAAATTAATTCTTCAGGATAGACCTCATCTAAATGCAAAAACCTTGGATTACAGCATTCAGGAGATCGATCAGCCAGCACGTGAAGCAACACCATGCCCATACACTAAAAAATAATGCCTATAATTCATTAGATTACTGATAATGCTCATTAGACTACAAGATGGTTTATATATCTGTACAATTCAGTGAGTAGCTTTGCATTTACATGCAGTTACATGTGACATTTTCTGTCCTAGAGTGTTGTTAAGCATGCATTTATTAAATTGCCTGCCAAATATTCTTACAAACAAAAATCTGTTGACATCTTAATAGGTGACTCTTTCGAGATAAATAATCAAGTGCTAAATCCTGACCCCACTGATACATTCAAATACAAACTAGACATCTGCTCGGTGCATGCTAATTTGTCTACTGAACAGTGCAAAAACACAAAAGTCATTCCTGAGACTACTCAGCAATCAGTCCCTTCATAAGCTTTTAATGTTCATCCCTTTTTAGTGTCACATTTTTGCTCTCACTACCATTCAGTGGACAATATTCTCTCACAAGGGGGGAAAACAATATGTGATCATACACAGCAGGGTATTTAGTGATTCTTTGATACATCACCCACAACTGGACATACAATATGTGCTTGTTTGGTCAAGAAAAAGAAAAAATATATGGCATTCATTTTTTTTCTAGCTGCACAAAATTTCAACGCTTGCTTCTGTGAACTCAGTGCTAGTAGAAATTTAAGAGCTCTTTTTACAGATTTTTACAACGTGACAAACCTTTTCAGACACAGCTGTCACAGAGAAGTCAAAGAGGTGGTCCTTTGAATGCTTGTGAAATCAAAAAAATCAAGTGCAAAAAAGAAAAGGAGTTTTCTTTTAAATATTTCTTAGATATACTCCGTTGTTTGCTGTCAAGTGCTTTATTAAACAGAACGCGTCTCCACCTCGATTTTCTCCTCCGATTGCGACAGTTCTACTTCCTGGTGGCTGACGTTTGGCCGAACTGTCACCAGCGGACCGCCGCCATAGATGGAGTGGAGAAAGGTCCACGTTTCTTCAGAGATCTGTCCAGAGTCTGCACCTGCAGTCAGACAATGCAAATACTTCACTAAATAATTCACTAGGTTGCATTAATAAAGGGATCCTTTGTTTATTAATGCTTAATAATGCACTAAGTAACATTAATAAAGGGACCCTTTGTTTATTCATGCTCAATAATAGACTAAGTAACTTTAATAAAGTGACCCTTTGTTTACTAATGTGTAATAATGCACTAAGTAACATTAATAAAGGGACCCTTTTTTATGAATGCTCAATAATAAACTAACTTTATTACTGGGACCCTTTGTTTATTAATGCTCAATAATGCACTACGTAACATTAATAAAGGGACCCTTTGTTTATTAATGCTTAATAATGCATTACGTAACATCAATAAAGGGACCATTTGTTTATTAATGCTTAATAATGCACTACGTAACATTAATAAAAGGGACCCTTTGTTTATTAATGCTTAATAATGCACTTAGTAACTTTATTAAAGGGACCCTTTGTTTAATAAAGCACTACGTAACATTAATAAAAGGACCCTTTGTTTATTTATGCTTAATGCACTACGTAACATTAATAATGCAACCATTTGTTTATTAATGCTCTATAATGCACTAACTTTAATGAAGGGACCCTTCGTTTATTAATGCTCAATGCACTACGTAACATTAATAATGCAACCCTTTGTTCATTAATGCTTAATAATACACTACGTAACAATTATAAAGGGACCCTTTATTTATTAATGCTTAATAATGCACTACGTAACATTAATAATGCAACCCTTTGTTCATTAATGCTTTTAATAATACACTACGTAACAATTATAAAGGGACCCTTTATTTATTAATGCTTAATAATGCACTACGTAACATTAATAATGCAACCCTTTGTTCATTAATGCTTAATAATACACTATGTAACAATTATAAAGGGACCCTTTATTTATTAATGCTTAATAATGCACTACGTAACATTAATAAAGGGACCCTTTGTTTATTAATGCTCAATAATGCACTAAGTAACTTTAATAAAGGGACCCATTGTTTAATAATGCACTATGTAACATTAATACAGCGACCCTTTGTTCATTAATGCTTTTAATAATACACTACGTAACAATTATAAAGGGACCCTTTATTTATTAATGCTTAATAATGCACTACGTAACATTAATAATGCAACCCTTTGTTCATTAATGCTTAATAATACACTATGTAACAATTATAAAGGGACCCTTTATTTATTAATGCTTAATAATGCACTACGTAACATTAATAAAGGGACCCTTTGTTTATTAATGCTCAATAATGCACTAAGTAACTTTAATAAAGGGACCCATTGTTTAATAATGCACTATGTAACATTAATACAGCGACCCTTTGTTTATTAATGCTTAATAATGCACTAAGTAACATTAATAAAGGGACCCTTGTAAAATGTTACAAAAAATTCAGCTCAACCCAAATTCCCAAGAGAAAAATCACATGTATATTTTTTTATGTAGCATGAAAATATAAAACACATACTTTGTTTGAGCACACAATGGCCGTTCTTGTTCACGGTAATCTTGGAATTGTCAATAGGTCCTGCTGGATCTTAAAAGGAAAACCAATGATTAGTCTTCTAGTCATAAACAGCAGCAGCTTGATCTCTTTTAATCCTAAATGACTCGGAGAGGAACCGTGTTAGAAAGTCAAGTGTTTCTGTCCTACTATAAAAAGCTATTCATGCTACGGAGAGAAAGCGAACATCAGAGGAGAGGAAAGGTGTTTGCAGACATTCCAGCTGTTATAAAGGGATGTGACAACACAAAGAGAGGGAAGCCAACGGAGGGAAATCTATTCTGACACTTGGAGGAGAGAAACCCGACTCACAGGACTAGAAACCCTTTGAGAGATAACAGAAAAAACAAAGGTGGGACTCCTGAGTTTGTTTTAATTAGTAACCTATGCAAACCAGACAGCTTTCTACAAAAAAATATATTCTTCCCCAAAAATATGATTAATCAGCTGTAGAAGACAGATCAATCTCATAATATTTAACTCATTACGAGGCACATGGAGAATTTGTTTAAGCACACATTCAGACAGAGGATGGAATGGGGTGCAACTTGACTCTATTTACCATTGTCTTTTCCTTTGACAAAGCCCTCCCACTCACGAAACCACTGCATGCTGATGCAGTATATGACCACCGGAGACTCCTCCTCCTGGAACGCCTTGTTCAGCTACAGAGAGGGAGGAAGTGGGGGAGGAGTGAGTGATAGAGACACACAGCAAGGGTGGGGGGTTAGGTGAGGATAACAGGATTGAGAGGAGAAGAGTAAAAAAAAAAAAACTAATTAATTCCTTCCAGTGGTTTTCTTTTCCAATTAGAGGACACTCTTAACAACACGCTGCAGAAGTCTCGGCTTTGAGGCTTCTTCTTTTATTCAGACACAAAACATCTATCTCTCCTCTCAGCAGCCATCGTGTGAGTGGGCACACCAAACAGCTGCGCCTGTCTCCGTCCACTCATGTCGGGGCTTTGATCTGGCCCACGGTGAGGGGCGCCGACACACACTGCCCGTCTGAATACACTCATTAGTCCTGGCGTCACACAAAGCCATTCACACTGGTTATTCAGAAGGAGCTTCCTTCAGGTGATCGGAAGAACGACGCTCACCCTGACAAACATATCCAGCTCTGATTTGCGCCGCTTTTCCAGCTTTTCGATCTCGATCTGGCATGTGTGGCAAACGTACAAGTGGTTGACCGCTGGTCCCCCGCCGTACCTTCGGACAAACACATCAGTTTTTTAAAAAAAGAACATGGAAGTTTACATAAACAAATAATGTTCAACCAGTGAGACACCATACCTGCTGTAAAGGTGATCCCACACCTTCTGTGGCAGCATCACCACCAGGTCATCGATGTACTTGGCTTTGTTGGGCGGCACACCTGGTCAAGCAATATCCCACATAAAATAAGAACACATAAAAAAGACACTACGTTTAATCTCAAAAGCACGTCTTTACAGCTAGAAGGATGTTTAGTTATGAGGTTGTTTAAAATCTTTCCTGAGACATATTTCCTTTTTAAACTCAAACTAAAGAGGTTCAAAACCCAAAAGTTTCTGAATAATTTTTCCCTTTTATCTCCTCTAATCCTCCCCAGATATTAAATATTAATTAAAAGTCTGTAGTTTAAATAATTTCTCATTACATTTTGAATAATCTCACTTAACAATGCGTCTTTTGCTGTTGTTTGTGTTTTTAATGACTCTGAGCTAATAACTACGGACGCGTAGAGCTTCCACCCATGCAAAATAAAGTTAGAGCGATGTCACATCATAACTTTGTGGTTCCAACTTTCACATTTGTACAATATAAATATCACCTTCTTACAAAATACTAACATGTTCTTACAATAAAATGTTCACATTCTTACAAAATAAATATTACGTTTTACCAACATGATATTTATATTGTACAAACAAGAAAATGTTATTGTAAGAACATGATAATATACTGTACAAACGTGATAAGATATTGTAAGAATGTGAAAATTATAATTTTCAAACAATAAATTAATGATTTAATAACACAATATCACTCCACTTTTATTTTGCGTGGGTTGCGTGCAACTTTATGCTTCCGTAGACCCGCATCAAATGGTAGCTTCATTTCTGTAACGCTAACTTAGCTGTACCCATTTTGGTTGTCAGCCAATACCGATTAGCTGTGATGATGAACTCTAATGGCTTTACCTGCAAAAGTTTAGATGTTCTTTCAATAATTAAATTTAATTAAATTGTGAAAGTTTCATTAAAACCTGTTACTTATATTTTTGAGATATTTTGCCACCAAACTACATTATCACCTGCCTTTTGGAAGCAAGAGATAATAATCAGCTAATTATAAGGACAATTAGACTTAATGCAACAGTACATTTATAATGAATTATTTAGTTAACAGTAAAACTGGTGATGGTTGGAGCGGTGGCTTCCTCAGACGTAAAACTCTCTCCGTGTTTAATGTTTTATTTTGCATTTGATTTAAAAGGCTAACTCTAATTAAAACCCAGAATTCATGGGACATTAAAGACTCACTGCAGCAGTGTTGCAAAGAAAAAGAAAGAATTGTGACAAGTAAATCAACCATGTGATTAAGAAGCACTTAAATTCAACACAAAAACAATTATAATAATCTGCAGTAGTCATCATAGTGGCTCTGTGAGTTTTTGTATAACACACAAAGCTTTGTTGAGGCTCTAAATGGCCCAGGAGTCCTGATAAATGGCCAAACACAACCCCATAATGAAGCCTTGCAACAGAAATGCTAGTTTTCTCCACCCACTCAGCCAAGACATGAAAATTAAATGAGCTGCGTGCTAATTGGCCAGTTTACCCAGATGGCTTTTTGATGCTGCCTGAATCTAGGAACGTGTATGGTATCCGTTTAACTCCATAGGTAAGCCAATGGATCCATCTGGCATTCACTCAAGGTCTAGATATCAGAACATCCTGGAACGTTACGTGTTTCCACCAACATTCTTTGTTGTTTTCCTCTCGTCCTGCAAGGATGTTAGCAATAGCTTAGGCTAGCATTGGTAGAAGTATTAGCACTAGCTACCATTATGTAGAGCTGAGGAAAATAATCAAATAATCGATGCATCGAGATGCGGACATAAATGATTCTGCATCGTAGAAGAGTACACCATATTCGATTATAGTGAAATGTACTTTTGTTTTTTTAACAGCGGCACCAGCGCAGCATCCAAATCTGTCAGAGTGAGTGTCCTCCACATTTGCCAAGTATTGTTCTGCCTTTATGTGGTACTGCAGGGCTGAGCGTTGGAGTTGTAACCTGAGACCGAACTGGAACCGAATCAGCCTGACCGGTTCAGTTGGATTTGGGCCACGAATTATGTTAATTGAGCGGATTGGCACACAGCACGCTCCGCTCGCTCGCACAGCAACTGAGAGTGAGAGAGGGATAGAGAGAGACATTGTCTTCTCACACAAGAGAGAGGATCGGAGGACGCTCCTCCAAACATGCATTATTATTTTCATAATTTAATTTAAACAATATAAAATTGGGTAATGATAGAGTTTTTGGCTATATCGCAATACCGCGATATCACATGACGCCAATAAGATGTGCACCCTGCTGACATTGGGACAACAGAATGGCAGTGACTGCAAGCATGGAGGGGGTGGAGGAGGAGGCCTATATGCCTCAAGTGGCATATATTTGCCACATGAGGATATTTAAAAGCATCTCATTTTGACATATATAAACAGAGGAAAAAATATATCGCAATATATATCGTTACCGCACATGCTTCAGAATATATCGCAGTATAGATTTGAGTCCATATCGCCCAGCCCTAATTTAATTATTTCTCCTCGAAGCGCTCAGTTAGACCGAGTGTTGTGATGTTGGGAGGTCCGGTCTTGGGGAGGGAGCGGGGTCAGTGACGGCGGCAGCAGCGTAATCATCTGTCTCATTAATTTAGGGACACGAAGAATTTAAAAGGAGAGAGAAATAGAAGATAGAAGCTTTTGTTCCACTTTATTCTTTTCTTTCATGATGATAAACTGATGTTAAGTTCAACTTAAAGAGAAATTGGGAGGAAGCTTTGGTTCATTTTAAGTTACAGGAGATCTTGTTTCCTATCTGCTCCTCCAGAGACAGCATGGACATGAGGGTTACATGGTGAGGGTCCCACAGGACAGGTTAGTGGAATGGTTTGTAGTTAGCTAGTTAGTGAAAGAGATCCATCAACTGAGTAATTTAATCCTAATCCAGCCCACAGCCTTCTGCTGTTGTCATTGTCAGCTAGAATAAAACACACATCTTAAATATTATTATCGGGATATTGAATCGAATTGAATCGTTGACCCAATAATCGTAATTGAATCGAATCGGGAGACAAGTGAAGATTCACACCTCTACCATTATGCAGTTAGCATTACCGCTACCAACATTTATATATTCCTGACATCGAAATAGGTTGGGCCAAGCAAATTTAGAGGTGTGTGTGTCTATTCCAACATGTGCTAAGCCAGCTTTTTCAGAACTAACCATATATTTGCAGCCATTACAACATTACAAATTTGCATCGGCACAGACTTTTTAGTACATTTGACAACCCAAGTTGCCTATATTCAACAACAAGGTAAATGTGGTGTTAAATTCTAGGACTCCTTTAAAGGGTAGTAGTTTTCAATGAAGTAATGACGTACCTCCATGCACACACAGGAAGTCCTTATTGGAGATGGGCCCCGGCTCTGCGAATGTCTTGAACTTGTTGAGCCACTGGCGGGAGACGTAGAACTGCAGAAGGCTGGGCTCCATCGTGTTGAATAATCCCGACACCCTCCTACGTTCTTTCACCGCGTCCTCGCTGCTCTTTCTGCGACACAAACAGAACGTGTGTTAATCAGATGCAACATCAAAGCAGCGCTCAGAATTTTAAAAAACCAAACAGATCACCGAGCTGTTGTTGACAACAGAGGGGCGTGAAGTTAAAGCACTCGTGGGCTGACTTACTTGTAAAAGAGCACATAGGCTTCAGCGTTCTGGACGCAGGACTCGGACACCTCGGTCACACTTTGGTCATCAAATTCATACCACAGCTTGTTCACATCGTTCCTGCAGTACGCGATGTAGTGGCCACCTGGTATCAGATGGATGGATGGATGTGAGAGCAGCATTCACAAATCTAACTAGCGCATGTGAATTTTGTACACAGGCTCAATAATGTAGGGTGCCCATGTGCGCCAAGAGATGGCAGCTGCCCCAGTCCCGTGACTGCCCACTCACTGCTGGCAGTGCCGTGGTGACAGATGACGGACAGCAGGTCATAGTTGGTGGTCTGGGCGGAGCTGTCCTTGGCCAGGAAAGGCTGCAGGTCGAGGCCCTCGAGCGGGAATGAGACATGTGTGCCGATCTTGGTGGAGAACATCAGTTCGTGTCTAAAGCGTTTCAAGTGAACACACAGGATCTGGAGCAGAGAGCATTCTCGAGTCAGTTTAGGGGAAAACAAATCATCGCTGAGGAGGATGTGTGTGTTTGTGTGTGTGTGTGTGGGGGGGGGGGGGGGGTTATTTGTACCTCTGGCAAATTCTGCATCTTACAAAATTTGACTCCATTTCGTAACCTAAGAGGAGAATGAGAATGTTGATCATTTTAAGGTTCTAGTGAAATAATTGGGGGGTTTTAGGTCAGAATTTAGCAAATAAAATACAAAAAACTCACTTTTTACATTTTTCACAGCTATACATATTATCTCCTGGGGAAAACAAGAAGAAATACACAACATAGGCATTAATTTAGACATTCTTGTTATGGAGACATGTTTTCAGCTCATTCCTCCACCTTTTAGTTCATCTCTGGCAAAAAAGGCTGCAAGACAGTCTTGTAGAGTAACCACCGGACCCCAGAACCAGCTGGAAAACAAACAAGGGATGAGAATTTCACACAAACATAATAAACAACCCATTATCTGATGTCGACAACACCAGTGCACACACTTCACACACACCTTTTGATGTACTCCATCACTAACGCGATCCACCCTTGAGGCGCATAAGCGTCTCCACAGGAGCCGGCTTTCACCAGAGAGGTCTGGTGGGTGGATGAGTGGAGTTTGGCCAGGTCTTCCTTTCCTGGAATGGGTAACGAGATATCCTGGAAGTTCTCCAGGGTCACGGACACCTGACAGCCGCAGACGGAACAAACAGTAAAGCTTCAGCTGCCGGAACGATCTCGGTTTTGTTTACAGTGTTCAGCAGAAACAACAAGATTGTAGTCCTTCAGACACATTAACAGAATGTAGGAGTATATCGTTCGTATCAATAATAACTAGATGAGGTGTTATCTGAGGAGCCACACTCACCCGATCGCAGGTGAGACACTGGACAGAGCTGACGATGGTCCCATCAAACACATCTGAAATGATGCTTCGGTATCGTTTCTGATGCTTGTTCTTTGGAGGGGAGAATGTGGCAACACCTGGGTGGGGGTGATGGAGGACAGAGGGGCAGAATCCTGCTGTTCAGCTGAATTTGTCAAGCACAGATTTACATTCTCTCCAGACCTCCTGACCAACCAGGGCTCTCCTACCTTTCTTGTGTGCCGGGTTGCGGCTTGGCCAGCCACAGGCAGCTTTTGGAGGGCTGCTGGACATTTTGGGAATGTGTCCCTCCATAGGGACGGGACTTTGTGGTCTTGTGACGTTTGACATTTGAATATCTGAGAAGCAATCTGGTAGAGAGATAATTCATATTTAGTTTTTTATGTGATGGTAAAAATCAAATGTCGTTTGGGTTTGTTTACCTGAAGTTCGACCTTGAACCTTGATGGCTCCTTGGCTGCTAATAATGGGTGTGGTCTCAGCAGTGGTGTCCACGTCCTTGTCAATGTCCGCCCCGGTGCTTCCTCCCATGATCCCGTTAACCCCAGAGCGGTAGAGGTCATTTATCATGTTTTTCTCCTTCTGCCACTCCCTGTTGGCCTGGATCTCGTCTGGATCAGGAATCAGCATCTCCGCCTCGTTGGTGTTGTCCATCAGCACAGTGGACTGCAGCTCGTTATCCGTCCTCTCGCTGCTGCCGCAGGACTCACAGGACTGGAAGTCGTTGTCTGACTGGCTGCGGTTGTCGTCCTCAGGACAGCTGTCCATGGCGACGCCGCTGGACTGGTCGTAAGACTCCAGTGCTGGCTCCTTCAGCTCCTCGTGAAGCTGATCCATTAAGCAGCGCAGGAATTCCTGGGAGTCCTGATGTTCCGGTTGGGATAACAAGACAAAACCAAGGTCTAATATAATTTGTTTCTTTTATGTTGATCAGTCATGAATCTTTTTTCCCAAATTACAAACAACCTCTTCTCCTCCCTGCTCATGCTAATGCTGGATCACAAACTCTGAAAGTCGGCACTCATCAAAGTGTAATTAAACTTAACAAACCTCAGAAATCCAATCTCCTCCTTCAAGCCAAATTAACTCTCCTCTCCCTGGAGCCGGAACGTTATCTTAATTCATAGTGATGCTAAATTCAAGGCTGTGCAGCCCAGCGTGGTGTGACAAATGAATATTCCTCACCTAACTCCTCTACATAAACTCTGGTGAGCCGCTGGGATCATTCTACCTTTCAGACTTAGAGATTATACTTGTACACACTGCACAAAGACAAGGAGTGTTTTACTTTATAAAAAGTCTTTTTACATCATTTATGTTTAAAACTTTGCACATTGGATCAAATTAAGTACCTGTTTGAACATAAGTAAAGGATTTATGAGCATAAAAGTAAAAGTTTAGGGATTAAAAACTGGAAAAAGGATATTTTTTTCTTATTTTAGAGGGATTCAGGTGAAACTAATGTAGTTCTGACGCTATAAAACTGATCTGACGTGACTTAATCACCTATACACAGATAAACACACACATTTACACATACTCTCATTAAGGTGGTACTTTACTCATATTTTTAATACGTCTGCAGGAACTAGAAGACAGGCAGATCAGAGTTGAGCTTCAGACGGAAGGATTTGGACTCTTATTTCCTGATATTTGGGCATCTCGTCTCTGATTGGATAACAGCAACATAACTCTACCACTGACTTGCAACGTAGTTGTTTAATCTCCACTAACAACACAAGCCTGGAGGACTTCTGCTGTGCGGTGGAGTTGCTAATGCTAATGGCTAGCTTCTACCAGCCAAGATGTTCTCTTCCATTACCTGGATGCTACACCAACAACAGCCTTCCCTGTCGTGAGTCAATATGGGTGAGTTCATGAACGCAAAGAGACAGTGTGACGTAGATCTGTCAGGATTTTCTAATCCTAGCATTTCACCGTCTATTTTCTATCAGCAGCTAATGCAGCAGATAGGTGTAGGAGACTATTTTCATGTTCAGCCTGCATGTCAGAGTGACTGATTATAATCAGAAATAATACTTAAAAATGGTTTTTCAAAGAGGTACCACTTTAATCCAAACACTCATCATTTAACTCATTTATAGAAACTTTAAATTAAAAAAGAAAGGTCAAAAAAGATCAGCATGCTGCTGAAAATGGCTTTAGAGAGAGAGAGCGAGAGAGAAAACGTTGAACTAATGCTTTCTTTGTATAATAAAAGTTAAGTTGCAGACTTCCTGAACAGACTCACCTGCTGAGAATAACCTCTGAACATGGGGTTTATGGCTTTGATCCCCTGGAACAAGTTGGTTGGAACCACGTAAGAAAGTCTGCAACATGAAATTTTAAAAATACGTCAACAAAAGAGAATCTGTGATCATCATATGTGGACAGAGCGACATCTAGATGTAGGATAATGGAGAAGTGCCGAGTCTACCTGTTTTTGTGCCACAGCTCAGAGACCAGCTTCTGGTAGCTTTTGCAAAGAGCGGGCTTCTTGTCTGTTCTCACCAGGCTGCTGCAGTCGATGAAGAACTGTGTCAAGGGTGGGCTGCAGGGAGAAGAGCAAATTCATGTGTGTGTTTGCAAACTTTGAAGAAATGCATGAAATTAATTGGTAAAGATGATGCATGGTTAGAATTGCAATTCGATGCAATATTTTTTATAATTTAAGTCTGATATCAGCAGAAGGTTTGCTGTCACACAAATAGGAAAAAGGGAACTGTTGAAAATGAAAAGAGGTTTAGGTTTAGTGATCATTCATAAAACCACCTCTTTTTCTTTATTATTAATTTGACTAAATCTTTCTTTTCCTCATTTGTGTTTCCATGAAAAAGCAGGCTGAGTGTAAATCACCAAGAGGAGCGGCGCTCACACAAACAGCCATAACGCCAACGTTTCCCTAAACCTGCCTCCTCCTGCAGCTGCGTGACTCAGATTCTTCTATTTTGGGATTCTGATTCATCTGCTATGAAATCCAGCAGCAGAAAACCAGGAGTAGGTGAAGTAAACAGAATGGTGTGTAATCTGATGAAGACGTCCAATTTAAATAACATCTAGTGAACTCAAATTGGATTGCGACTACAGTACTGGACTAAAAGTGCTTTCAGATCTGAGGAAAGATCAACTGAAAGGAGATGTTAGAAAAATAAAGACATGTCGGAGCAGAAAGGGGAAAGAACAGGTGTTGACTGTAACAGAAGAACCCAACGGGGAACTACTAAAGGCCATTTCTGGCTTCTCAAATGGTGCACTGCACCAATTCTCGCTCAGCTATCAATCTCCCAAATGAACGGAGCCACGGTTATTTCTACCAGTCTGCAAGAATCAGGCAGTCGGTGAGTAAAACAGCAAAGAGTCGAGCAGTGGGATAAAAGAAACAGCAGGAGAGCAGTTTTATGTATGTAATAAGAGGAGTTTTGCTAGATGGGGGGGGGGGGGTCCCTCACCAGTTGGAAAGAGCTTGGAGGGCGGCGTTCATGTAGCAGGTGTTGCCGATGTTCTTCAGCCCCGTCAGCCCTGGAAAAGGTGGAGCACAGTTATCAATTAAACCGATTCTTATGTCATCAGAAAGTATGTTTCCGTTTCTGGGACTTAAACTTCCAGCAGCTGCAGGAAAAAACTTGTTTGATTTTCAGATCAGCTGTTTGTTCGGTGGATTCTTCGTGACTTGGATGCAAATGTTTCTGTGTCAGAGTGTCAAAGACATTTTTTAAAGTTGTGCATCCTTCCGGAGAAGGATGATCTCACAATTTGGAGAAAACATTTTGCACATTGGATTAACCCTAAAATGATGCAACCGGTGAAAAAGAAAGGCTCGTCTGACGGGTTTGAGGTGGAGCCTGTGTGCATCGGAGGCCGTTCTGCTCCTGCAGAGGAACCTGATGCAAGCAGGGCATCAGGTAAAGCAACGGTTTTAATCTGGGGTTGGCGAGCAGACGCCTCCAGCGCTGCACAGGTCAACTTCACAGGCGAGTAAACCATCAGGAGACACATTTGATTTTCTTCTGAGTTGCTTTTCGAGCTGTTAGCAGAAGACTTGAGGCAAGATGAAGCAACGCTCTCATCAGCTGCCCTTCTTTGATCAAATGGTTAAAATAGTAGGAAAGGGTTAATTTACATTTTGACACCTATCTGTGTTTTATTCTATTTGTACACATTCATTCATGCAACATTTATTAAACATGTCTGCTACTGGGCTGCAATAAATACATGAAATGCATCATCAAACACAAAAGAAGTCACCAACACCCCGTGAAAGCTTGCCTTTGGCCTGCAAGTCGTCCTCCTCCTCTGTCTCCATGTCCAGGTCTTCATAACCTCCGTTAGAGGGCACTCTGAGGGAAGTCGGGCTCCCGGGGGCCCAGCTGAAATCCTAAAGCAACACATAAAAGTTCATACATAAATTAATCATACATCCTTAAGACACTGCGATCACATAACTCTGCGGCGACACATGTCACAATGTGAGAGTACAGGAACAAAGGTGTCTCACCTGAGCGGCGTTTTGAGGTAAAGGGAGGGGTTTAACGTTGCTGTGGGGGGAGTGAGGGCCCAGTTTCCGCTCCAAGAAGACTTCCTTGTTGCAAGCGTAGCACCACACTCGGAGTGTGGTCAGATTCACTGTGAGGTTGTGGCTCGTCTCCTGCACACAAAACAGAATAACGTTTTAACAGACTGAATAAATGTGAGTAGTCAGTATCTTACATGCTGTAGGCAGTGGTGAGCTGTTTGTGCTGCGACACAAAGGCTGCAGAACATAAATAATCTGATAATGTGACCCACAATAAAATAACAGGTTCAATGAAACACACATAACTAAAGGGTCCAGTTTTAGTGCAGCAATTCTGGTGTTTTTGGCATTTCTAAGTATTTAAAATGCATCAGGATGACTTTTAGCGAGAGTAATTTTAAATGCTGTAAAATAGCCACTAGCTTGTTAGCGATCTGGCTAATCATGACTATAGCTCCGGTCAGAGAACTACTTCCTGTCTCTAGAGACTCGAAGTGCTTTGAGTGACATCACCAGCAGGTAGAGTTCCTAAATGAATAAATTATATCTTTATGGCTAAAATGTACAACTGGCGATTATTTTCTCTCTCCCCTGGTGTTTTACAAGCTAATGTGTGGTCCTGAACCCCAACCAATGGTCAGTCAGATGTTTCTGTTCTTATGTAACAAGACCAGAAAAGATTTCCTTTGTACACAATTAATGCTTAACCATTTTCTTACACGATACATCAGTAGAGTAAGTACCAAGAATTCAAATGTTGATCTTTCATTGAATTAAATCCAAGGAAATATGTAATTTTTATGAGAAGAAGAATAAATTTACCACCACAGAGCCCCTTTTAAAAGTGGGGGAGGGCAGATTGGTGCAGTTAAAGCCAACATGGCTGATGTTCTGATGACCCGCTGCTACTCTGACAAACTCCAGCAGTCTAACAGGTTCACGAGAGACTGAAAGTAAGCAACAGCCAATTCTGCATTACTCATCAGTCACGCATTAGTCCCTTAGCCTTCACACAGGCAGGACAGATTTGGCAAAAGTCTCACACCAGATGGAGAACGACCCCAAACTCCCCTTTCTTTAAATCATTCACAGCATAAAAGTAGCAGAGCACCGATAAACAGATCGATCTCCACATGGGACTTTCAACATTACCTTCAAGCCTAACCCTGACCCATCCATACTCGTTAATGATAAATAGCATGTATCTGATAGGGTTTCACACCACCACCCCCACCACCCCAAGGCACCTTACAACACAATAAGCCTGGTGCATACACACACTGGTGGTGATTAGCTACAATGTAGCCACAGCTGCCCTGGGGCGTACTAACGGAAGCGAGCGGCTGCCGTACACTGGCGCCACGTCCCTTCAACCACCACCAGCAGGCGAGGTTGGGTAGGTGTCTTGCTCAAGGACACAACGACTGCATCAGACTTAGCGGGACTCGAACCTGCAATCTTCCAAATATGGGGCGGACACTTTTCTCCTCTGCCACCGTCAGACTGACTTCTTGACCGACACAAGAAGGGAAAACTAGGTCAAACCTGTCTGATTATTCCAACAGCTTTATCGTCTTAAAGGTAGGCCCGCTTCATCATGAATGAATGAAAACAAGCTCTTTGTTTTCATTTCCTGATCCTAACCATGCATCTTTTTAATAAACCAGCAGTAGAGCTCCTGCATCTAAAATCAGCTGATTTAAGCACACCTAAAATCTCAGAATTCACTCTCGCTGTTACAGTATGTGACCCAGTTTCTTCATGACGAAGAAAATCTGATTCAAATGTTTCCTTCCCTCGGGACCTTCCACAGCACTAATTAGGCACGGGCACCACTCCTACATTTGAAGAAACCTTCAAATAAAAACAGGCTAAAAGCAGTTTCTAAGTAAGCTAGCACCTGGATTGCTGATGGGAATGCTACTCGGCAGTTTGCCTTTTGATCTGTCTTCCCTCCTAACCCCGTTTGGCTTTAGCGCACTGAGGGAAAAGCATTAGTCCACAAAAAGAAGACAAGAGGCTGACTAGGAGCAGATACTGTAACCATAGTGAATCTTCCCCCACTTCCCGAAGGACCGGCGATTAATAATGGATGATCTGCTGCTGAAACTGAACCGCATGTGTGGATGTAGGCACAGAAACTCAGCATAGACGGTTTCTCTTTTTTATAAACATGTGCACTTCAAAAAGCTTAAAGATCCATGTGCGGGCTCTGAGATCACAGAGGAAAAACATTAAAAATAAACGCGGTACGAAAGTTGGGGAGGTAGTTCTCTGGCTCTCGGGACTCTAATGTGGGATTTCTGTCTGCGCTTCAATCTTTTCATCTATTTCCAGCTCAAGGCGTCATTCCCTTTTTCCACTCTTATCACAACCACTTCCTCGTTGGGATTGCACTTTGACGGCTCTCAGCGTCTCACCTGCGAGTGCACCGTGCTGTGGTCGGCGTGAGATTCCCCACAGCCCACGTAGGCACAGCCATCCTGGAGAGGGAATCAGAAGATGAAGGCACCATGATGTTTAAGAGGAAAGGATCGGCTCGACGCATTCCCTGGGAATCATTGTCTTACCTCCAAACACGCCCACAGATTCGGTCCTCTGACTTTGCAGTCTTGACACTGACCCTGATGAGATGTGAAGGTTAATAGGAAATTGTGAAAATGCAGTAAAAACAAATTAATTCCTCAAAGTAAACAAATCACATCAGTTTTAAACTAAAATCTGAATTTGGAAAGGTTTTAAAAGATCTATGAACAATCAGTTACTATCACCACATATATATAAAAATGATATTTTCTTCTTCTTCTTCAGTTTACAGTTTTTATTTTCTGAGGCCTGAGGACCATGGCGGCCATCTTTAATTGAGTTGAATCCACTACTTACTAGATTACCTTCTAGGAATCGCATTAAGGTTTACCTTAAAGTGAGTTGGTAAATTTCAGCAGGGTCACTTACATGAGACTTCTGAATTAGTTCCTCCTTGGTGATCTCCCCCACACAGTCCAGGTGGGGGCAGTCACAGCTGGATGTCGGCGACATCGCTCACCGACCAGTCTACGTGAGAAACGCAACACTGAGAACACAACTCCAGTTTGGGTTTGAGTAACTTTCCGGACTCAGAATGAGCTTTTTGCTTTATAGAACACTGAAGACAATAGTCAGGTTACTGTCACCAGAGTCCTCACACCTGACAGGGTTTTCCACACATACTCAAAATTAGTAAGCTGTTGGCTTGCCAAGCCAGAAATCATCAACCAGCTGTCAATAACTCTGAACCAGTTATGCCAGCTTCCTGCTACAGCTAAACATATTGTGACTTTTTTCTTACGTTATAATACTGCTTTGATCTATATAAAACATGATTATGTTTAAGTCCTTTGCACCAATTACCTCCAACATAAAACGATTTCAGCAGTTTGATTCTTGATATTTCTAGTACCTTCCAGAATGAGCCGTTTCAGGTTTTTGTCTCTTTAAGAAAACAAGCTGGAGCTGGCCACGCCCATCCCCCCACTCAGGCTGCTATTGACCCTTTGCACGTGACGTCACGCCACTCATGTGACCGCCCCCTTTGCCATGATGGACGGCAAAAAGACTGTTTAAACCCGTTGAAACTCCAGTGAAGGTAGTCAAAACAAGCCAGTTTGTAGCCTTTTATCGCTTTTATTTAGTTGACTTGACAGTAAAATGGTTTTAGCGTGCTGCGTGGTTGGCTGCACTAACAGATAAGGATGTAAGCTCAACTCGTTTTGTTTTTTTAATAACTTTGATGGAGACAGAGGACGGAGATGAACTGCAGCGATCAATCAGGCAGACTAGCAGCCCTCAAATTTACAGCAAACACATTTTTACCGGGTAAGATTAACGTTCATCTATTTCACGAGGAATACAGGGACAGGGATAAATGTGATGTGTTTATACAAGTTATTGATAATCCTGATGGATGGGTATTTCACCACGGAGACCGCGCTCCATCCACTGTAGTGTAAAGCGAGACAATTATTAACAATATTAAAGCTCCGATGTATAATTACGTGTGTTAAAATTACGTTATTTATTTATATGAGCGTCGGCGTTCAGAGATCTTCTCATTCTGGTGTGAAAGCAGCAGCTGAACCCGGTAACACCACCAGCAACAGAAGCTGGTAGGGATCCAGACTTTTTAAAAATCAGCTTTTGTGTGAAGTGAAACGCTGTTTACAACATAAAGTTATAAATCCAGAGGGGTGAATTTAAGCAAAGTCAGCAACATGTTTACATCGGTGAACAGCCGCAGAGGAGGAGTTAACGTTGGTAAGCTCTCTATGAGCCCCCGCTAGATGCGCTACTTCTGATAACTGAACTGGGCATAAACTAGTTGAAGGAATGCTGGAGGAGTTTTGTTTTTGTTTTGATCGCAAAAACAATTTCAGGCTCTACTTTTCCCTTTGTTTAGTACTCGTGCCGCTCACTGTTTACATGCTTTTGCCGTCCAGCATGGTGGACCCATGTGATTAGGTGACGTCGGTGCAAAGGGTCAATAGGGAGCCTAAGTCACGCCCATCTACATCCGGACCGTGGGTCCCCGGAAGAACGAAAAAATGAATGCAAGTCGATGGGGCTAAAAAAGCTATTTTCTAATTCTGCTTGTTATGTACCATGGGTTTCACATATGATGTCTGTGAATTTTAAAGAAGCATTTTTATGCCAAGAACGTGTTTATTTTTGAACGAGGGGAAATGTTATTTTAGGTTTTGTGTGAAAATAAGTCCAGGACTACAAATGCGCTTCACGAAAGTGACGTCATCAAACCAGACACGGAGAAAACTGAGGGAAAATGGCTGTAAGTTTAGCAAACCTAAAATCCTTTCTTCAGGAGGAAAAGAACCACCATAAATCTGGCCATGTGGTAAGTAGTAGCTACACTAGAGGAGAGGAGTTTCATGACATCACATATGCGACATGCTGATATCTAATTTGTCGTCATGCTAATAACGAACTTTTACAAGCTTTTAACCCCGTTGACTTGCATTCATTTTTTCATTCTTCCGGGGACCCATGAACCGACCGGAAAGGGAGGAGACTTAGGCTCCCTAATGACCCTTTGCACCTATGTCAGCTGATCACGAGGGTCCAACATATTGGACGACACAAGCTTAATAAACAGAGAGCAAACTGAGTGCTGAACAAAGGGAAATGTAGTGCCTGAGATTGTCTTCTGGTTGTTTTTGTGATGTTGGCTTGGCATTCCCTGAATGTGTATGAGTTAGGCCTTCATTTATGTTGACTTTAATTCCCTGCTTTCATTGGTCTCTTTATCTCTGTTTTACCCATTTGTTTTCTACTTTAATGTTTTTACCTTTTTTTCTCATGTACTGTGTTCAGCGCCATGGGCTTCCCGACAGGGTCGCGGAAGGCACTTTATAAATAAAGCTTTGATTGATTGATTGATTGATTGATTGATTGATTGATTGATTGATTGATTGATTGATTGATTGATTGATTGATTGATGTTTAGCGTTACTTCAACTAGTTCAATCCCAGTTCAGTTATCGGAAAAAGCAGCACACTTAGGTGGGGCAACAGTGAATTATGGGAGAATTGAATGGAGAGGGAAAATTTGAGGTTGTTTTTTTGCCAGTTTAGCCTGGTTTCTACTGGTTCTAGCCCAGTTCACTTGTGGGAATATTAGCACACCTTGGTGGGGGTCATAGAGAGTAGTGTTTACAAAAGTTATGTGTTAGCTAGAAGTGTGACTTCACGTGCAACGGGTCAATAAGCTGAGAAGCTCTGATATCTGGGAGGGGCTCAGAGTAGAGCTGCTGTTCCTCCAGCACCAGCTCTCTTGCACATGAGGTGCTTCTATTCAAATTTCCCCAGTTGTGACATCACAAATGAGGACTTCGTGAAACAGCTCATTTTAAGCACATAATTCCTAAAACCAAACACTGACAGAAAACGAGTACACTGATTTTTTGGGAGTGTTTACAGAGGCAGTATACTAGAGACCCACTTGGAAGCACAAAATTATGCAAAAGGTGAGCTTTGCATAATATGTCCCCTTTAACATCATCTATAAAAGCCTTTGTTCTGGTAAAAATATGAAGCTGTGGTGGAGAAACATCTTCACCCATGTTCCCAATCACTATCAGCCACAACAGCTACTAAATGTTTATGGGAAAGAATGACGAAGAAACAACAAACACACCGAATGTGAAAGTCACCCAGGAATCTGATTTCACACCCAGTTCCTAAGTGGAGGTTAAACAGGAAGGCCACATCCAGCAGGCTGGATAAATGACGGAAGACAGAAAGGAATAAAACGGGTTTATCCTGCTGCACAGCCAGCACCAAACCACTGATAAGATACGTAATCTGCTTTCTATTCCTCCATGATTTTACAAGATTCTATTCTGAGGCTTCATCTTATAGGCTCTTATCATTTCATTGCTGTTGTTGACTCTGGTTTTTGTGCAGGTTATGTTATAATTGTGTTGTTTTAACTCCAAATACATTTTGAGTGTCAGAACTAATGTAAACAGCTTCATAAGATGCAGACTTGCATTAACTCTCATTGTTTTACTTCATTTTGCAGAGAAGAAAAGAAGAAAGCGTTCAGAGGGATGATCGGAAATCATTAGAACTTTCTGTTGATGGGCCTTTTGGCAAGGGAGTAAAATCCCACCGCCATCAACACATGAAGATTTTATGCATCTTTAAAATTATTTATCAGGGAAACGGGACATAAACTCAAAGAATGAAAGAAGACAGGAGCTTTTTAGGGTCTGTTTATTAATAGTTTAGTAGGAGGAAGTGCTGCATCGTGTTGATTTAGATTCTCATCCATCCACTACATGGCAATCTGAAAAAAATTGATTTTAAAAGCTTCTTTAATTCTAAAATGTAACGAGTAAGGTTCTTTTCTGATCTAAAACCTATATATCAGTTAGCTTCACAGCTATGAAATGTCAAAAACAAATCAAACATAACACCTCTGTTATGTCACGTTATTATCACGATACGTGTCACACAACTGCTAGTTAATGCCTAACTGGGAGACAAACTGCATGAAATTGCTTTTCACACAAACAATAAACAAAAAATGTGATATGATATGACTAAGATATGCTGGATGTTATCGGACCATTCTCCTGTGATTGCGGTGAACTTTGGAAGAAAAAAGGATCAAGAGGTCAAGGAAAAATAAATTCAATGTTCCTGCAGCTGTAAATACAGCTAGAAGTACACAGCAGGACACAGCAGAGGGAATACCTATTCAAACCAATACAATACACTCCGTGCCTCCATAAGTCATGTGACATTATATTAAATACCAGTGGTAGATGGGATGTAACCAAGTTCATTTACTTCAGTCCTACCGATTCCAGACAAGCTAAAATGATTTTGTTTTACTTTTAGTCACTTTTACACAGAGAAAATGTTTAAATTAATGTTGATTTGACAGCTTTTCTAACTAATTGCATTTAAGAATGGAATTTGGATGCCACATGTTTTCTAAGTACAGCAAGATAAATAAAGATTAAAACAGTTTTTCACATTTTTTACTGTTTGATGTATTTTAAAAAAGCAATGCTTAGCCAGAATTACATTGTAGACGACAATTCAGTTAATAGCTCCCATAATCAGACATATTTCTGTCCATACTGTTAACAGTTGTGGTAAATTATATCCAAGTTATAAAGATTACTTTGAATGCTAATCAAAGCCAGACGTGCTAGCCTGACCTGCCAGACTTGTCCTCTGTCTACGCAGGGAACTATGCTTCCCATTAGGAAGCATGGGGTTGGCTGGTCAGGCTAGATTTGTGCATCATCAGAATTTTGCACCTCTCCTCATCCGATAATTATTGGATAACTGATTTATTAGCTGTCTCTGTTTAAAAGCAGTTCTGCCTTATGGAGCTACCTCAGTAACAATGATGGTCCAGTATCTAACATAAAAATGTATCTGCTAAAGTGACCATATTTTACTAAAATGTTCAGCCACCACCTTTGCACCTTAACAGTAATAAGGATGGATATTAGAAACAAAATATTTATATATATATATATTTTTTTTTTTTGGTAGTATTCTGAATACATGATCTACAGCTAAAAACTGTACAAATGAGTGGTACTCTAGGGTGGGGCTTTCAGACAAATTTCACATATATACAGCTAATCCTGTTCTTAATAACATGCATTAATACATTTTTGTCAACAGAGAAAATATGAATTAATTATATCTTAAAGGCACAAAGTTGATCCGTTAAAACATGTAATCATTAGCTTAGCAAACAGCCAGTCCACAACAGGTTAGCAATAACTATTGTGCAGAAAACGTGATGTTAGCGTCATTACCTGAAACCCAATCAGAGAAAGTGACAGAAAAAGTCCGTTTAATCACTTAATTTTTTTTTTTACTGTAGGTTTCAAAGCGGAAGCGAGTTGTCCTTTTGTCCCAGATAAAGTCAGTGGTTAATGCAGAAGTGTGTGGCTTCGGCCTAGTGAGCTGTCAAAATATGTAGAGGCGTCACAGGCTGGCTGGCCATCTTTCGCTGTTAGCGTTAGCTAACTACTATCCGTTTTAATTCAGTGTGTTGCAACTTAACCTTACCACTAACCACTAAAAACAAAACATATGTGTATTACGCTAAATCACACACCGAAAATGTTCCGGTTCGATGGTTTATAACGTATAGTCATCTCACTACGAACATGCTAACTGGTTAGCAAGCTAAAGCTACTGATGATCAGTGACAATCGGACCTCACAGGAGTCAGCAGCATCCAAAAAAAAAGCCCAGATTTGGTCCTTACCAGCTCCTTAACAAGACACGCTGCTTCTCGCGTAGATCCAACTGTTCCTGGCGTATCTCACATTGGTTTTAGAGACATTTCAGAAGAAAATCCTCCACAGTAAAGACAACGCTACCGTCACTCAGCGTGGTTGCTAACGTTACAACTAGCCCCGCCCATTTTCCGGTTTAAAATGTATGAATCCTCCCCATTTTACTGTACAAAGTTTTTGTTTACATTGTTATAAATATTATCAAATGGCACTTGTATAGCTTTAGGACAAAGGAGCCCAGCATTATCAAAAATTATATTTTTAAATAAAATGTAATAATAATATCTTACTGAACAAAATATTGAGTCATCATGCAGATTGGTTGGATTTTGACGTTGTAACAATGCAGTTAAATTTGTTAAGATAGAGTAGAGATTTTTAAAATACAAAATCAGTCACCTGGCTGATACACAATGTATGGGGAACACCCACCCAAGCGCGATCTAGCGTAAAAAGGGAAATAACATCCAAATCAACCAATCAATTTCCCTCTGGGATTAATAAAGTATTTTTGAATTGAATTGAAACCAAATAAAATACATGATCAAACATAAACATGATGCTTAAAATGTGCTTTAGTCATAGAAATATTTAAAAAGATAGAAGTATAACTGAGACATTTTAACATTTAAAAGCGAGAGATATGTGGGGAAAAGAAAAATTTTCATGACTTATAAAATCTTTAATATATAAAATCAGATTTTATTTTTATTTTGTGAACTAGAGTAAATTAGAAGAAAACAAAACATTGTCATTAACAACAAAAAATAAAAGTCATACAAAAATTTTTTGAAAACACCATGATAATAACTGTTATTAATATCTAAAATATCTTTCACAAATTGCTGTCTAATTTACATTAGTCAGTGTTCCCCCGTGTGTGTGTGTGTGTGTGTGTGTGTGTGTGTGTGTGTGTGTGTGTGTGTGTGTGTGTGTGTGTGTGTGTGTGTGTGTGTGTGAATGGATGAATGGTACATTGTAGGGTAAAGCCCTTGGAGTCCTCTGACTCTGAAAGGCGCAGCTCGTTATCAGGTTGACAATGGAATATGAATAATCTGGCGAACTCTGGTGTTCAGAAGTGGTATTGCAACAACAGGACGAATTTTCCAGCAACTGGGATGTTGGCTCACTGCTGTCATGTTCCAGCACCGTGTTCAGAGACAAATCATACAGGATAAGGACTCATTTCTAATAATAGGTTTATTTTACAACAGTACGTACAGTTAGAACATCTTCTGGGCTCAGAGTCAACTGTTTGACTTGTCAAGTCTGCCACAGTCCCAACCTTGCCTTGTTGGGCGGTGCCCTCTAGTGGCTGGTAGATGAAAATATATCACAGTGTCGTGCTGACAGAATAAAAATATGATTATGTGTCTTTTTAAATTATAAAATATTAAAATAAAGGTTTAAAAGGAGAAACTGTACATTTATTCTGCACACCTCTGAGCACCCCGTGGAGGTATTGTTTTTAAATATAGGTTTTTATTAAAATGTTCCATTTTCTAACTTTATGTGACATAAAGTTAGTGATGAACAATAACGTAAATTAGATTAAATGGAACATTTTATTTGAAACATTGATATGTAGTGAGCAAAAAGAGTCAGAAAAATGTTATAAGTCACGTTTACAGTGTGTTCATCAAGAGTTCTATAAAAAATATGGCTTATTTTAACAGCTGACCTAAAACCTACACCTCAAACATTTACTTCAAAGTAATTTTTAAATTGCAGCTTTTTAAATTTTTATTTTAAACTCTCATTGTTCATGTAAAATCCATGGCAAAATCACATACATTAAAGAGCAAGTCACCCCCAAATCAACTATTTTTTTCTGATAAACTATATAAATGTGTGTCTAACCGTGCTGCAGACACGTGTAGTCAGTAGTTTTGCACTTTAGTGCATTTTATTAAAATTTAAATTTTCTGCCTGAAACTGTCAGTGTTGTGCCGTTGTCAGGTAAAAACTCTTCACTGCATTTGAATTTAAATCTGCCACCGCTACTGGCTAAGAGGTATGCTATGATGTAAACTGGTACATTATGATGTCACAATGCCGTGAGTGTGTGTATTTGTTAGTGGCTCCACCCTCTCGGTCTGCTAGGCAACAGCATTTGTTGCATTTTTCAAACATGAAGTGGGAGTGAAGTACGCTTCTTGTAAGGGGTGACTTGCTCTTTAATTTTGTAATTATCACGTGAGACCCTTAAATAATGTAATACGCAACCAAACCAAAGAGGGCGCCAAAGCTCCACAAATGTAAATAAGATGAGCGCTTTTATTTTGAAAGCCAAACCGGAAGAGGGCGTTTGTAGCTCAAGCGAGTCCTTCAATCGTCTGGAACCGACTGAGGTCAACCGGAGGACTGAACGAAACACCGGGAGAGGACACCGTGAAGGAAATCTTAACGAGTAACGATAATGTGTTTTCCATCTTTAGTATGTTACATTCAGATAGGAGACAGCGTGTAAATACAAGTTTGAAACTGTTTTAGCTAGTTTTTGTATGCTGTTTTCTTAGCTAGCCTTTAGCTTCCCATTGAAGCCGATAAGTATGATCCAGCCATGTGCTAAAGTGATTTTCTGATACATTTCTTGATTTTCTTCTCGACAGAAAGGCTTTTTCTATGAAAACATTTATGGATTTTTTTCCCCCCACAACATTTGCCGTTAGATGAATGTGTTTTGGTGTAATTCAAGCTCATTGTATTATTGTGTATTATTGTGGTGCCATGCAGATGCAGCAACACAAAAATATCTAAGTGCTTTTAACATGTGGCTAAGACAATAACTGGTGAAAAGGAATGAGTATTTTAAGCATTTTTTTTAAATTTTGTTACAAGAAAGCGATTGTTTTAGCTTAAGTTGAAACAAACTTGCAGAATTTTAGTTTTAAATGCAGGATTTGGAATAGTCTTAAGTCTAAAATCAAGTCTGCTTCTTTATTCTTTAGTTTATTGCGCGCTGTAAAAATTCTGTCTAGTTTAGATTAATTTTAACTAAGATTGTAAATAAGGTAAAATATTCAATTCTTACACATATTATACACGTGCCAGCAAGCTTTAAGTGGATGAAGTTGATTAAAAATACAATATAATATATTAAAACAGATTTTAAATGTCTTAGACAAATTTGATTAGATGTTTCCCTGTCCTGCCAAATGGATTTATGACATCAAATAATATGTGGTACGTGCTTGTTTTTATATAACAGTTGTATGGTAACAGAAAGATAAACCCCATAATGCTTTCATTTGCTGCAATTTTGGGTAAGACTTATTATTTCTTTCTTTTGTAGGGTGTTCTTTCAGGTCATTGCACTAACGTTAAGACCTGAATTTACTGGCTTTACATAAGATCCTCTCCTGAGCCTCTAAGGTGAAATCTCTTCTCGTCTCTTCTACAGCACCAGTGAAATGTTGAGGACAAAACTCCTGCCAAGACATGGATAGAGAGCCACAATGACACATGAGAACCTCACAAGCTCCCAGCTGTCTGTGAAAGCTGCTGCCCTGCGCATGGTTGACCTCTCGCTATCCGTCTACAGCTCCCTGACACAGGTGAGCAAAAGAAACGATCACTTGGAGCTCTTACTGGGATCAGTTTTAGGGTACATCATTCATACATGAAAGAAAACATACAGACCTTCAGATGACAAAAAAATCTCAGTTAAATCTAAACCTCAAATTGATTTTCATGCACAAATCTCAAGCGTTCCCCTCCATTTCTTTTGTTTCGCTTTGTGTTTTTTCATGTTCTTTAGAGCAGTAAGTACCTTATATTTTCCATTTGTTACCCAGATGCTGTTCTGTTTATTACATAAGACACAAGAGTGTTTGAGTCACAGAGCTGGTCTGATATTATTAGAGTTGTCTGGTAGAAGCTCATTTGATATGTGGCAACAGCAGTTATGGATGCAGCTCTGAAGCTCCGCAGAGCTGCAAGGCTTCAAAGTGGAGGCAAAGCAATCAGATCAGCACATCCCCTCTGGTCTTTTATGCTATTCTGATTTAGATGCAGGTTTTGGGACTTTGAACTCTGCTTTTGTTGTGGACAAATATTAGTTTACGTTAGATTTCTGTTCAGAATTTTTTAACCCTCATAAATGTAAGTGTTGTTGAACTTCTGACCCTCCAGGTGAGCGTCAGCTCCAGCGCCAAGAGGCTGGTGGCTGCTGCTGCATTCGGAACTGCCTCGCTCCTCCTCCTCGCTCACCGCTTTCGGAGGAGGAAGGGCAGAAAGAAGGGTCCCTCTCCACAGTGGAAGGAGGCTGGTTTTGATGTTTACTCTCCAGCCTCAGCAGACAATGGTGAGATGTTTTACTGTCTGTCCATCAGCTCTGTAATCCGCATCCTAGAAGTAACTGGAGTTGAGTTGCATTTGAGAGGGAGCCCTCCTGCTGTGTTTAAACATTGTTTTGTAAGCTTATCTCTAAAGTGTTAAACATTCTCTTCCCAGATAACACCAGCCAAACCATCAGCGTCTCCCTCAACTCCAAGAACACCAGCTCAGCTGGTTCTGGACTGGTTCTCACCACGAGAGATTACAGAAAACTCTCTGGGTCTCTGATGAGCTTGGCCTCGGTAAGACGCATCTGATGTTTCTATTGAAGGCCAAGTTCACTGAGAATAAGTTTTTACTTGTATATATTTTTTTTATTATGATTGATCATTCTTGGTTTAACCTGCAGGCTAAAGGGTGAAAATAGTCTCCTACCACTTTTTCCTGTATTAGCCGACAAAAGAAAAATATTCTAGGAAATGCTCGTATTAGAAAAGCCTACATTTGCATGTCATGATGACAAGATAGCATTCAAGGACTCACCCATCTTAACTCGTGACGGGGAAGGCTGTTGTTCATTTAGCGTCCAGGAGAAAACAGAGCAGTTGGCTACAAGCTAACTGTTAGCATTAGCAACTCCTTGTTCTGCTCTCCCTACCTCTTTCCTTTTCACTCTCTCTCTTTCTTTACATTTTTAATCACAATTGTCTATTTTTTGCTCATTTAAAATATATTTTTAAACATTTTCTAAATTATTTTTATATTTTTACATTTTTTGTTTTTGTGAAGCGCCTCGTGATTTTTATCTTGAGAGGCGCTATAGAAATGATATTTTCTTCAAATGCAGTGCAGAGTTTTTACCTGACAACGGCACAACACTGACAGTTTTAGGCAGAAAACTCAAATTTTAACTAAAACGCACTAAAGTGCAAAACTATTGACTACACGTGTCTGCAGCACGATTAGACACGCATTTATATAGTTTATCAGAAACAGAAAGTTGATTTGGGGGTGACTTGCTCTTTAAAATGTTATTTCTTATGAGCGGGATCATATTTAATATTTGTACACAAATCGCATCCAGTCTTTTTAGAAACAACCTGCTGATTGTTTCTGCTGAGTGAACATGCTCTGCTTCGTCTTCACAGGTGCAAAGCATGAACTCGTCCAGCAGCAGCACCTGTGCGGACGAGTCCATCTGCTGGGACGGAGTGGGTGAAGTTGAGGTCTGCAGCGTGGTCAACCTATCTGTCACCACCCCTGAAAACCTCTATCTGATGGGTAAAGAGAGTCGTATTCTCTGTAGCCTCGTTGTGTTTGTGATAAAGGGTTTGGACAACATAATAAACACTCATCAACGGATGATGCGTGTGGTTGTTTTGGTGGGTTACGCCATGTTTTGACATTAAACAAACTAAGGTATTATTTGCTGCTTTCCTCCAGGCATGGATTTATTCGAGGAGGCCCTGCAGCGCTGGGAGGAGGCGCTGACGTTCAGGAGCAGGCTGGCTGAAGATGACGTGAGCTGTGCCTCTGTGAAAACAGGAGCTGGAGATGCCATCGCCGAGCCGAGCATGGAGGTAAGGGAGAGGTTCTCAGAGAGATGGGGCTTGATGTCTGCTTCTCCGCCGTTCCAGTCAGGACACGTCCGTGCACGCTGATGCAGAAATCTCATCGTATCAAAGTCTTAAATCCTTTCAGGGAGTTGTTGCAGAACGTGAAGTGAATTATGCAACTCATACATGCTAGAGCGCAACAACGTTGTCCTGTCTCTGATCTCGTTTGAAAGGTCACTCTTTCAGCCCAATCTCTGTTTGTGTCCAGGATGTGATCAGTGCAGACTTCATCCACAGGCTGAAGTCTCTGCTGCAGCGGGCGTATCGCCTGCAGGAGGAGTTTGAAGGGGTGTTGGGCATGTCTGAGACTTCATCCCACAGCAACAGTCAGGGTGAGTCACTCACACACGGTTACGTAAGGAGCTATCCGGGACAATAATCCAAAGAGTTGTAGGCTTCCCTCCCTGCTGTGAAGTGTTCTCAGCTCCAGGATCTTTTTTTTAATGCACTTTGACCTTTATTTAATCTTTCTTTATCTGGTGATCAGTTGCTTATGACTCTGTTTTTTTTTTCAGTGTCAGAAAAGTTAAAAACAAAAAAAAAACACCATCACACTTGCTTATAAAGCTTCTTCTGGCTCATGTTTATATAAAACTCCAGCAACATAAAACACTTCATCATAAAAAGTTGCTGTTAGTGAAGTTCTATTGTGTGTCATAGAAAAAACTATTTTTACTGTGATTTACAGATCAGATGGCGGATCTTTTGACCAGAGACGAGCGGGACGACGTGTGTCTGAGGGACAGCATCAGCATCGCTTCCACCGACTCTTTTGTGTCTGCTGCTGAGGTAAAACATGCCCTCTTTCTACAGCGATAACCTGGACTAAACAAACCTCGTAAGAGTTTGAGCGGGAACCCAATATTCCATGCAGCAGCAGCCCTGAACACTGCCTCTACTGTTGCCAGTCCAACTCCCGGTGTTTACCAGAACCCGCTTTATCCTCTTTACTGGCTAAGTCTCAGTGGAGGCTCGAGCCGCATCTCCTAATGGCGCACTTCACCCACAAAAATAAACAAGCTGCTGAGAGCAATTTGTCTCCTGAGATCATTAGCCGAACTAAATAAGGTTGTGAGGGTTTTGAATCTGTGTGAAAATAAAATGTGTATTTAATCTTTGGTGTTTGTTTCAGCCTCAGCTGTCGGAGCTCAGGAGTGCTTTCGCTTTGGGACATCACCCCCTCTACGAGGAGGCGCTGCAGTTGGCCGAAGACGGCGACGTCTCCTGCAGGGTGCTCCGGTCAGTAAGCTCATTAGGAGGTCGGAGTCGTGTTGCTAGGATGTGACACGCTTGACCTTTAGAGCATATGTGGTTTTAAAACACAACTTTGAGTCTGATTAAAATATAGAAACCACAACGATTTTTAATGTCTCCTGGTGTTTATGTGCTCGTGTTCTTGTACAACTTTCAGAACGGAGATACTAGAGTGTCGTGGCGACTTGGATTACCTGGCTAAGCTGCACTGTGTACGGCAGGCGTGTCAGGTAGCATGCAACTCCCTCATCACACCGGCTCATTCCGACGCCATTGGTCAGGTTGTTACCACTCTCACTTTTATCAACATTTTGTCTCCAGCTCATTTTCTGCGACGCGGCGACCAGAACATTTCTGGCCGACACCGGAAAGAAAATCCTGTCTTCCATTATTGTGAAAGCCCACAAAGTAAGTCTAAAGGCACGGCTGGTGGGTTGAGATGATCTTTGACATCTCTGAGCTGGAAATGTGTTTACTTTAGAGTCCAAGGAGGTTCGAAGAAGTGTTTGAGGAGCTGATTTATTTCCTGGAAGAGGCGGAGCACTGGGAAGAGACGGAGGTGGAGCTGTCTTCACGAGGGGTTCGTTTGAAACACCAGAAATGTTTCAAAAGACTCCAAAGCAAACGATAAACCCAAGCTTGTTCTCATCCAGGTTAAGCATTTGAACTTCTATGATGTTGTTCTGGATTATATTCTGATGGACTCCTTTGAGGACCTGGAGAATCCTCCAGTCTCCATCCGGAACGTTATCAACAACCGTTGGCTCAACAGCTCCTTCAAGGAGACAGTGAGTGAAGACAATATTGTCTCGTAAGGGATTGATGGATCAACATTTCACACTTGTTTAATTCCTCAGGCGGTGGCATCGAGCTGTTGGTCCGTACTGAAGCACAAAAGGCAACACATGAAGGTACAGATGTTCCTAATGCGTGACGACGTCCGTCATCTCTGTGGATGTCCTTCAGTTTTTGTTATTTCTAAAGGTGCCAGACGGCTTTGTGGCCCGCTTCTACGCCGTGTGTGAACAGATCAGTCCCGTCCTGGCTTGGGGCTTCCTGGGGCCAAAGAGCTCCCTGCAGGAATTCTGCTGCTTCTTTAAGGTCAGAAAATCAATCTAGATTAAATTCCTAAATCTAACAATTCAATCTAACATTAGAATATGGTTTCCCGCCTTTCCCATGGGCCTTCTAGCCACGTTTTATCCATTTTCTCGCATCTGGTGTGCAAAATTTGAACAATCAACATTTAGTTATAAAAGTATAATATACTTCATGTCAGACGTTATTTTATCCAAAATGTTTATTCAAACAAATTACTAAAAATCCAAGATATCAATCATTCATATAATTTTAGAAAAGCCCCATTGTTACTTTGTGTATGGAGGTAATGCACACCTGAGACCTCATGGCATCCGTGTCTCTTTCAGGACCAGGTGCTTCACTTCCTGAAAGACATTTTTGATCTGGACAAAGTGCGCTACACCTGTGTGGAGAGTCTAGCAGAGGACATGCTCCGCCTGCTGCACCGGCGCTCCGAGCTGCTGCTGGCCTACCTGGGAGTCGACTCCCTGCGGCCTCTCGGTAGCTGTGTCACCTCGCAGGTGCAGCTGGTTCCCAGCACCCTGCTGGAGGCACCGGTCCAGTGAGCAGAAACTCAAGTCCCACCAACCATTGGACCAAAGAAAACTCAGCACGTCTCATCTGTGGTGACTGCATCATACGTCCCCACGCTTTGGATGGCGGTTAGAACTGCCTTCAACTATTCTGACTGCCCCGTCCCCCCAGTGCCATAGTGAAACACATGAGCAATAATGCAACTTAAACTTGACTAGATGTTGCGCTTTGTGTATTTATTGAAGATAAGTTTGTGACAATGTATTTTACTGAGTTTATTTTGTTATACAAGTAGAAAGAAGCAGGGGTTACCATGTAGATGTGCCAGTAAAAGCCTGTTTGTGTTCATATCTAATATCAGCAATGCAACATAAGAGGTTTTAAGTGTAAATTTAGAAGAAAAAAAAGGTAAAGTTTTCTTGATAGGAGTCACAGCAGCCGCTTGGTGTATGAAAACGAGTCTGAAACGATGTGGGCACCACGAGAAGCCTTAAAACATGCGCTAATATTCAGCTTTGTGTTCCAAAACCTTCCAGAGTGGAGTCATCCATCACTGCCATAAAAGATGAAGTAAAATACACGTGTTTCACAACAGGCTTGTGTTAGTTTGTCAGGTTTAATATCCAATTTATCTGCATACTGAGCCACTCTTAAGAAAAAAGCCATCAACTTCAACCAATCAGATCCATTTTCAGGGGTTGCCTGCAAAAATAAGCAGTGTTTTTTGTTTTGAATCTACAATAAGTCTTAAACATCCACTGGAAATGTATTTGCTTAGTTGTAATTACTCATTTGCAAGAGCTGCGAGATTGGGACATTGTGCAAATTAAATACTAAAAAAAATAATGTATCTAAATGTGGAACAACTTCAGAACAAGTTGCTGCTGCGTTCAGTTTGACTCGTCAATATTTTGCACCAAGGAAAAATGTTTGTGTGAATTAATTAAAAGACTATAATACCTTTTCTCGTTTTCCACGTTTCACACCGCACCTTAAGAAAACACTTGGGGCTGTTTTGATTTTTAACAACTTTATTGATGAACATGGCAACATTTGAAGTCAGAATTTGAAAAACAAACCAGTATTTAATGTACAGCAGGTGAAACCTCGTTTACCTCTAAGGCATGCTCCTTGTTCTCTCCTCTACACCTTCCAAACTCTGTGTTGAAACACCTGACCATCCTCATGTACAGCCTCAAAGACAAATCATTTCTAAACTCATTTTGCAGCAAATGAAACTGCATGGATCATAAAATGCATCAGGTTCTGCTCTCATCCGACTACAAAAGGTGTTAAAAGACATTTATAAAGGCATTGAAACAACCAGGTAGCTCTTAACACTCTGGCATCATGGGTGGAATATTAAAAACAAAGCTGACCAACACTTTCAATCACAGTTTTAAATTTCATAGCATTGCTGCTTTTACCTTATCACTGGAGCTCTTGAACGGGCTACGTTCAGCAGCAGGATAGACTCAAAGGATTCCTCCTTTTTTGGGGGGGGTAGGGGACAAACTACGACAAGGCCTGATTTTACGACCTAAGCCTGCAGCATCCTCCAACACTGTGAGCAAGAAGGCAGCAGCATTTCAATAGTAGACTTTCACCGCGTTCTAGGGCAGAATCACACCACCACAGTAAAATTCACTCTTTCCACCTAACATTTGAGCACACTGCTAACGTCTGGCAACAGGTTTCCATGGCATGCAATCAATTCATTTCACCAGTGTCAACCTAAAGCATCCTTACAACAGTTGCTCAGACTTACCACGAGACCGGTTTCAAATATTATGCACGTAACATTTTTTTTGTCAGATAGTCATTTTAAGGATAACTTGAGATACAGCTCATCATGCAGTTCATAGATCAGAGGAAATCATACCGTAAACGCTTCAAAACCCTGGACATTTCTTTACTATCAAGCATAAATGCATTTAAGCATGTTAACACAGGTAAGCATTTCTTTGCATGTATAAAGTTCATATCACTGGACAAATGAAAAACACTGTTTCCTTAGGTTTCGCTTACCTGTGTTACTGCAGCAGAACCTAAGGTGCAAGGTCTGGGGTGACACTGCAAAGATCAGATAGATCGTACTGGTTGCCATCAGCGAACAATGCAGTCAAATATCGTTTTAGGGGTTCAATGCAACAGCCTGTCACAACATAGCTCCATCAGAAATAAAAATATCTGGTCAGATTTCCACGGCTAGTGCTCAATATGCTTATAGAAGGAACAGGAAAACATGACGTTGCTGAAAATTTCATTTTTCAAAACATTGTCTAACTTGGGTCAAGAGAGAACGCAGAAACCAGATCCTTGCAGTCCTACCAGCAGTGAAACAGAACATTCAAACCCTCAGCTCAGAAACCCAACACTAGAATGCTACCTACACAATCTAAATCATAAACATCTACATGATATGCAGTCTTAGAAACATGTGGTACAAGAGCTTAGGCCTGTTAATTACACTTCTCATATTTTATACTTACCCCAAAAAATAAAAATAAAAAGAGGGGAAAATGCAATTTTTGACATACTACAACTTTTGCAGTTCATTAAGCATCAAAACGGGCGTGTATGTCTCAGTTTTGTACTTACATAACAGGAAGGCTCAACTGGAGGATGAAGAGGCTGCTTAGCCACCTCAGACCCTACGTCTGTACTAGCAGAACGGGCACAGCAAAAACCATGTTTGCAATGTTTTTATATTTTAAAATAACATTCTTAAAAATATGCACAACTGGAAATGGGCATGGCAAAAACGTTTTCAAAAGCATTTTTATCATTCAGTGGCAATTTACCTGACTGTCCTGGAAAAAGAACAGCACAAAAAAATAATAAAAAACACTAAAAATATGCAACATTTCCTAAAACCACATGTTCAGAATACCTGCTTACCGCTGTTCTACACTTGCCTGTGGAAGAGGAAGTGACTATCAGGGCAAAAGTAACAAAATCAACAGAGCATACTAGCGCGACAATGTTTGTGTACCTGGCAAACGCAAATAGAGCCACAGCAACGCATGTTAATGCATGAGATACGACACACAGCCAAATACCTGTCGACCCAACGTGTCTACGGCTACAATCAGCAAAGTCAGGAAACAAGAATGCAAGAGAAAAACGTCCATCAGCAAGAACATTTGAACCATCGGGGATCAAACACATTTCTATGAGCCTTATCGATAAGCGGAGAGAGACAGGACAGCACATTTTAACCCCACGTGGCCTAGATTTGATGCCCCACCCCCTCTCAAACAAAAACCTAACCTTATAGAAATCCATTTTTTGATTTGCAACATCCCAACTTACCAACACAGGAGGTTTCAGTTTGTTTTATTGCAAAAACACAACAGGCATTTTTAAAACCGAGATGATTTACATGGTAATGTCTACAGTTTATTAAACATGACTTTGAACCACATTTAATGTAGATACAGGGCTGGAATGACCATATGTATAATTACCTTACTAAAAACATTGCATTTACAAAAAAAAAAAAACAATAAACAGAAAAACAAAAGAATCAGAGGACGTGTTCGCCGGGTAATCTGCCATCTGTGTGAAACACTTTCAAACCAAGGAAATTTAAGATCTTCATCAAGGCGTCTGCATCCAAACATTTAACAAAGGATTTTGTTTCGACAATGTAGCATTTACTTTATGTCCACTTCACATTACTGGCCCTGTGCAGAGGAAATACATAGAAGATACATCGCATGTTAACAGCAGAAACAGTGAACTCAGCTTCCCAAAATAAAAGCTAAAAAAGGGGGAGGAAGTAGTTTGGTTAAGGCTGCTGGTGCCACTGGTTCCCTGCAGAACCCTGAGGAAGGAAGGTGGTTATGGTACAAAATGACTGAGTGAATGTAGCGGGTGGAAGCTGATCAGGGGCGTACCTGAGGGGCTTGTGGTGCTCCACCCATGGCCTGGGGGTTGGGTGTGCCGTAGTAAGCCGCCTGCTGCCGGTAGTACTCGGCCCAGGCGGCGCTGTAGTCTGGCTGGGCTCCTGGCTGAGAGGTCGGCGCGGCTGCAGCCGGAGCGGCCTGAGGCGCGGCTTGGCCTGAAGGGTCAAAGAGAAGAATAATCTGGTAAAGCCAACAACCTAAGAACACAGCAGTAAATTCGGTGGTTGATAGAAGATTTTCACGACCGATCACTGAACACCGAATCTAACCAACTGTAGAATCTTAACTTATTCTGCACAGTAAAAAAAATAATAAAATTTTTAACTTATAAACCTACAGGTAATTAAAAAAATTAAGTTGATGACGTTTTAGAGCATTTATTAAGCAGATGTTTATTAAAAAACAAATAAAACCTGGCAGCAGCAACGGGCTAATGAGTAACCTTTACTTCACACTGGAGGTATCAGCGACGCAGAACGGTTTACTCACAGGCTTTGCTGCGCGCCAGTAGTCTGCCGCGGGTGGCTCCTCTACAATTCTTCTTGCTTGACTCGTGAGATCACAAGATCCCTTGAGACTTTTGCGATCAGTCAAACCAAAATTACATTTGATGTCATATGATGTTTCTCCCCACTGCTAGGACTGACTGATGCTAGGAGTAAATAGGTCATAAAGTCACATGTATTAATGTAATCTATGAAACTGCACTGCTGCCATTTTACTTTGAAAATTATTGGAGGTTTTACACTGAAACTTAGTGATTTCCTGTCTAGCCTTATGCTCTTATGTGGAGATTTGTGTGTCTCCAAAGCAGCTTGTTGGAGAAATAGAACACAACCCTATCTTTAGTGGTGTGTCGCTCTGCTCCTGGAGAACGCCGGATTTCTGCATCACAGCTGGCATAGCCTGGCAAGCCAGACTAAAGAAATGTATTATTTAGTCTGGCCACGCTCCATTGACGGCTCTCGGTTGTGGGGCGGGTTCTACCGTTGTCTTTCAAATGATCTCCGCATTCCACTGGACAAAGAATGTGACGTACTCTTGTTTCACTCTGTTGCATCATCCCACCCACCAGACAGAGTGCCCTGATTGGCCCACAAAGCGGATAAAGCTCTGTTATTTGTTCACTAAGCAGATAGAGCACTATGATTGGCCCACCATTATGGACCAATCACAGCTCTTTATGTGTTTGAAACCCCTCTAGAGAGCTGTGATTGGCCAGCCAGAGTCCTGGTAGGAGCTGCTGAGGTTCCAATGGAGCGTGCCTAGACCAAACTTTGCAAAGCAAGAATTTGGTCTAGTTCACTAGGCTAGGTTTGAATGACCTTTACAGACTTTAATGGATTCTATTTAAAGCAGCGATGTCCCACACTGCTGATGCATCCAGTGTGAAGTAAGGCTAAGTAGATATGCAAGAAACTGTATGACTAAATCACAAGAACAATAAATAACCCTAATTTCCAGACCGGCATTAGGCTGGCCAACTCAGCAGTAGCCGTTAGGGATGGGTACCTCAACTCAGTACCAAATCCCGGTACCTACGAATCGATGCTTAACGACAACAATTTATTAATTATTTTAATTAAATATTTTGTTCTCACTGTATAACCATATTTGATTAATATAATGATAAATTACATAAACTGTATTTTATCATCTTAGTGTTGTACAAACTTCAAGATGAGAACCTTAAACCACAACAGTTTCTAAATGATACAAATATTAAAACCCAGCTCCATGGACTCCTAATCTTCTTCCATGCCCTCTCAAGTACCTATGATGAGGAGACCGTGTATTATAAACTACAAATGAAACCAAAACAATCTCTGACACCAAACAACAGTTTGTATTTTAGTATTGTGGTGTTTCACAAACTAAAACCACCTCCATGGACTCCTTTTCCTCTTCTTTCCCCTCTGGACATACTGGTTGGTGGATTCTTGTAGTTTTATAAACTGCAAATTCAACTGACTCAAACATCTCGGTTGTGAACTAAATTTACTGTGCATCTTCATTCTTTTTGCCGGTCATTTAAGAATTAATTTTTTGGAAGTCGGATTTTTTGAGTACCGAGGAGAAAGCCAACACACCATTAGCTGCTAGCAATTAAAGCTAAACTATCAAGCTAACGTTATCCTAAACAACTTATTTATCTGCTGGAGCAGATTAAGAGGAGGATTACTCGCTCAGAACGCTAATGCTGTCATCACCCATCGAATTTAGGGAGGTTGACCCAAACTTTAGACCGCGTCAGTTCTACCATGCTGCTTTTTCTGTCTACATCTGACCCGCAGTGACTGACGACATAACGCTCTTGCGCATGCACTGCTGTCCATCTTGGGAAACCCAGTAGCGAACGCTAGTGTGTAAGCGGCAAAAGGTACCGAAACAAGGAACTGTTTCATATCGCGTGAATCGGTCCATGGTCAGTGACTTCAAAAGTACCGAAAACGGTACCCATCCCTAGTGGCCGTAGTAAGTTGATACGGATAACTCTAAAGATCCTCGTTTCCCCATCGGCTTTTTTCTTTTTTGCAGACATCTTTGACAAGATTTGCCTCAAAGGTGATGACATTTCAAAATACATGACACCGGAGACACGGGTCTTCGTTGAAAGCTTTAAAAGTTCTGTGTGCACTTACTGCCGTCTCCTTGCATCTGGGACGCTGCGTCTGTTGAACAATCAAAAGCTTACTTGTAGTTTCTAACAGCACGGTCACCAAATTCGGTCTTAATGATTTTCTTTTTTTTCTTTTTTTTAAACATCAATATCAGCAAAAGAAATTTTTACCACTGTAACAAGTTTATCACTACTTATAAAAAATGGATTTATATGCTGAGTGGCATGCCGAGTCGACAGAGGGGCTGCTATAAGAAGGGGAACGAACCAGCCACCCATGTCTTCGGGTTGCAGGTCAGAAACCTTCAGCTTTTCTTTTGGGCGGTTGTGAAAACAGCAACTCTACTACAGAGGGCTGCAAGGAGAACCAACCACCCCATGACGGTTTGTACCAGAAAACCAGCTGGGTTCAACAATAGCTGTTTAACAAAAAAGCAACTCTGCCAACCTTTCACTGCATCAACCATCTTTAAACATGGTAAAGGACTTCAGTTCGAGCAACAAACTGCACCAACCTTGCTTCTTGTAATACTCCTCCCAGGCTTTTGTGTAGTCCTGAGGAGGCTGATTCTGTTGACCTGCAAAAAGCAGAGAGAATAAAAGGTGTTGATACAACTCAATGAGCTCAGAAAGACACGCATTACACAGCTAATCCCGCAAACAAGCTAGTTACTTTATACACATTCAGTAATATTCATGACATCAGCTCACTTACAGCCCTGAGATTATCTACCATAAGAAACTAATCTCATAAAGGTGATCGTGCGTCGACAGCTCAAGCCTAGTTTCCACTTCTCCGTCACGCACACGGGCCGACGGAGACGCCTTCCTTTCATTCTCCCAGTTTGTCAAGAGTTTTGAAGCAATTCTCCACCAGGACAGCAGGGGGCGTAGACCTTTTCTGGCTGGTCGGTTTATAATAGCAGTGCAGTCTTTGGTCAAAGTTTATTTACGTCTGTTTGCAAATGCCAACATCGTGAAGGAGGTGTACATTTTAACCGTACATTTTTGTGTTCCTTTTTTGTTAAATAGAAGTTCAATAAACAGAAAAAGTTTGTAAATACCAATTCACTCAGGTAGTGGTCGACAGACAGATTTCATTGAGCTTGAGCCACTTGATCGATAAACATAAACTGTTACAAAATTCAACGGGAGCAAAGAAGACAGCTGTGCCGTGAAATGTCCGAACAATGATGCCCACACTGTCGCTGGGCTGTCCAACTGAGACGTGCGCTCGCTGTTCCAAATGTCCTTAAGTGCCCGTCAGAGCCCTTGCGTCAACGGATAACGGAGCTGCGTTTCTCCGCGGACGAAGAAGTATAAACTAGGCTTCAGTCCTGCAGTCTAAACAGCACAGGCGTCAAATGTCAAACCAAGTGGAGGCACACTGATAAACAGCAGGCCCACAAACAACCCAGACCTGAAAAAGAAGTGGATTTATGGCCCAGTGGCTGTTTAGACTGTTTGTCTAAATAGGTGAACACTGAAACTACATTTATATACCCATTTTCTTGTAATATTCCTCCCAGGCTTTGGTGTAATCTGTCTGTCCACTCTGACCTGGAGCCTGTGGGTCACCTGTTAAAAAAAACGGCACTTGTAATTAGTGAATCATTCTCAGCAGGTTGTCCTCCACCTGCAAAGCAAAGTCGTTAAACGTGAAGCCAACCCTGACTTCAGGTGGGCAGAACATCTCGTCATCTACGCTTATCTACTCGTGTCTTCTAGAAGTAGACACCCCGGTTACCTTGGCCGTTAGGCTGAGACGTGCCTGGAGCTCCGCCAGCTGGCGCCATGGAGGGCTGAGGCTGCTGGCCGTACTGAGCGTAGTACGCCGCCCACGCTGCTGCGTTGGCGTCGGCTGCTGCTTTATCTAGACACAAATATACCCATCACACTACACCTCAAAACCACCTACGCTGGTCTGTCTGTAAAAAAGTACTCACTCGGATCAGGCTGTCCCTGCTGCCAGTGGGGGTACCCGTTGCCCCATCCCTGAGGCTGATAAGGAGCAGGAGGACCACTGACGAAGGAAAACAATAGGGATGTGAATCTTAGAGCAACTCATGATTTGATTCAATTCACAATCGATTTTTAATTTAAATCGATTCACAATCAGTATTAACAAAGAGTGTCAGCTCCAGGATGAACTACTTTGTTGTACAAGTTAGTTAAAGCTCTGGGACATTTTTGACTTTAAACTGGTCATGCTTCAAAAATGCAAATTTACAATGTAAAATAGTGATTCTAAAACTGTAAACAGAAGCAATCTTTTGACCAAAAGGCAACATTTATTTTTGCTTACCTTGTAAAATATAACAAATCTGTAGTTACCTAACACTAGCTTTGGAAGTAATACGGTCAAATACTTTTCAAGTATGTGTAGAAACAAGTTACATGAGTAATCTTGAGTACTCATTTATCAACTTAGAAAATAAATATGAGAATATCTCAAATTTCTGAGTATGGAAAAAATTACATTCAAGTGCCCTCTTATCAGCAGATTCAAACATAAATCATCTCAATTTATGGGACCACAAAAGTAATCGGAGTACTGACTCCTAACAAAGATCAGAAAAGTGCATCTCGAACCTGTAACATGCCAAATATTTGAGTTCTTGGAATCGATTCTGAATCTTTATAAATAAGAATCCCGATTCAAACTTGAATCGATTATTTTCAGCACCTCTAGAAAACAACAATTTCCTCCAAGTTCACTGATTCTTAATTCTTTACAGGGACCAGTGCTTACTGAGGTCCAGGAGGTCCCTGGTTATATGGTCCAGGGTTGTACGGTCCCATTGGAGCCCCTGGAGGTCCAGGTGGTCCCGGAGGACCATGCGGACCCGGACCACCATGCGGACCTGGAGGACCGTGCGGGCCACCCATTGGAGTAACTGGGCCCTGAAGAGAAGGGTGGAAAAATAATCAGATAAGAAGTTCATTTGTTCTTAATACGTTTTCAACATTTGCACCATCTCACCCCAATTTTCTCCTCCACTAGCTGCCTGGCATAGTCAATCTGTTGAGGGGAGCCTCTGACAGTGAACATCTTAAGGTTGGGGTCAGAATTGGGTGGAGCATTCCTCTGCAGCTCGATTCTGGCTCCAGACTGCTGACTGATGCCTTTGATTGTCTCTCCGCCTGGGAAAAAAATCCACCCAGTCACAAATCGCCGAGGGAACTTAATGAGATGTATGCTCAGCACCATCGTTTTCCTCCAAAAGGTGATTAACATGCATGCGCTTGCCTTTTCCGATGATTAGGCCGGTCTTCATGGTAGGGACTGTGAAGCTAAACTCCTGCAGGCCACCAGGAGGGCCCATGTTCCAGTTACCCTGCCCACGGCCACGTCCTCTGCCCCCTCCGTGTCCAGGAGGTCCCCCAGCTTGAACGCTCCTCAACAGGTCAGAAATGATCTCTGCTGCATGCTGAGCCTGGTCTGGGGGACCCATGATCTGTGCTATCCTCTCAGGTGTAGTGCCATCATCTGAATGAAGGTAAATTTCATTTCAATTTTCAATCTTTTGTGCAAAAAGTATTTCTAAATGTTTTTGAGCTCCATCTTGTTGCAGTGGTGTTTTCAGGTCTCAGACTGGTTTGGGTTAGGGTGATACATCAGCATGTCAGCGTGGTGCATGAGTTTTCATCACTGACCAAACACACCTAGAGCAGCTCCTGTTCTTGATCACTTGACCACTCACCTGGTTTGAACTGAATTCTGACGCCTGTGTCATTCTGTATCTTCTTGATCATCTCTCCATTTCTGCCAATAACTATTCCCACAGCAAATCGTGGGACTGGAACCTGAAAATATTACCAAAGGCCAAATTCAAAACAGGACTCAACATCCTCCCACTTAAAAGGATTTGTGACTCACGTCCAGGCTGTCTCCTCCTCCCATCCTTGAACCGTACTCGCCCCTCTGCTCCCTGAAGCCTTGCTCTCTGATCAGCTCCATCACCATCTCTTTGGCTTGCTAAAGAAAAAAAAAAGCCACCATGTTAAAATTGTATACTAAAAATAGAGAAATAGGGGCACAAGACCAATGAAGACTCACTTGAACTTTAAAAGGATCTCCTGAAATGCGGAGTGGCTTGTCTGCTCCTGTATTCTGAGGTCCATCTTGGATCATGACCATCTTCACGCCAGCTCGTTCCTGTTAATCAAAACCAAACACAAGCGGCGGGTTAGCATTCTGAATCAAAAACAATCCCAGCAACAAACACACTGCTCAGATTCCTACCTGGAGGCTCTTGATGGTTTCTCCTCCCTTTCCGATGACGAGACCCGCTTTGGTAGAGGGCACCATGATCTCCTGAACCGTCATCCCGGGACCATCGTTGTGGTGAAACGATGGAGCTGGACGGCCCTTCTCAACTATATCCGACAGTAACCTTTTTGCAGCCCTTTGGGAGAAAAATTGACATTTTATTTACAAAAAAACCTGGAAGCTTTAAAGGTTTTCACTCAAACTGTAAAAAAAAAACTCACTGAATTGATTCTGGTGGTCCTGTCAATGTCACTGACCTATCTGGCATCCCTCCACTGTCTAAGAGACAAACGAATGCAAACATCAAAGCCTCTTAATCATTTATATTATTTTACCAAAATATGCCAAAACTTACCAGGTGCGATCTGTATTTTACACCCAGACTCCTGCTGGATGCGTGATATTTGCTCGCCTCCTCTCCCAATAACTAGAAATCAAAAGGTTTTTTTTTTAAGCAAGCAACATAAAAATCTAAATCCTAATTTTATCTGAAAATAAAAACTTACTGAATCCAACCATTCCATCGGGAACCTTGAATTCCTCTGATGTTGACCTGAAAACGATAAAACATCAATCTGAGGAACATAATAAATCAGAGATAAGGTGATAAAAAAAATGGAGCTTAACCTTACCGCGGGGGGCAACCCATTGCTACCATTGCAGAAAAGGCTGAAAAATAAAACCATTGAAAACAATTGAGGAAAATCCAACAAAATAAAAGAGCTAAATCTGATATGGTTGTTTTTTTTTTTTCAGACAATAAAAAGACTTAAAAAAAACACCTAAAACAATTACCATCATTTGTAGCTACTTTCTTTGTTTCTGGTTGATCTGTGAGAAGACAACGACACAAACATAAATTCCTGAGTACACGAACTGCAAACTCTACCGGGATTAATGACCACCACCTGGAATTTAAAGGTTTGGGTAAGACAAACACAGCACTCTTTGATCACTATATGTACTCTCTTTACAGTTCAGTTAATCCAGTTTAACTTGAGTGTGTGCTTTCCCAATCTAATAGCTTATTTTACTTTCACCTTATAAAAGCTGTTTCCTCAATAATAGGCATGTTGCTGGAGTCTTTACCTGCTTTATTATGAATGTACCTCTGACTTATTCCTCTTAATCCTGCCACTTTTAAACTCATGCAAGTGTTTTAAAATTCCAACCCTTAATTTATAAAGAAAATACATTTCCCCAAACAATTTCCATCTCTAATAAACTGATGAAACAACATTTGAAAAATCAAGACTCCCAAACAGCTGTAGAAACACGGTGAAACTATTGTTTACGCATGCGGCTTCCAATCAGTTACAAAAATAATAGTTTAAATCCATATTTAATTTACAGAAGCAATAACTACAGACTTGCATTGAGGTGGATCTTTTGAGTCACTGACCGATATTCAGGTTAGGCATGGGAAAATACCCACCAGCGTCCTCCAGGGGCCTTTTCTGGCCTCCGTAGCCAAATTCGTTCGTTGGGGGTGCCGCGACACCATCTCCGCCGATCTTCGCTGCAATCTGAAACATGAAAAATAAGAAAAATTGAACTTTATATATTTATCGTTTATTTCTTTGTTTAACGGGCGCTGTGAGACACGCGGACCGCGGCCTACACTGTTGCCCGGAAGTCGGTCCAACAAAAGGACGTTTTAGGTTTCCTTCAAATGAATCTGATGCGACCGTTTAAAGACTAAAAAAACACTGGACTTGATCCTTTTGTTGTGGTTTTTATTTTCCTCCATCAAACAACTGAGCTACGACCTCCTGAACAAAATCTGGTTTCCGTTTGCAGTGTGGCGTAACCTATCTCTTACTAGCCTTTAGCTTTAGCCCGAAGAAAAAACATTAAAACGCGCTCTTATCTTTCCTGTTTCGGTATTTTTAAAACTTCATCAACGTCACCGCGCTTTTACCTGTCGTGCTCGCTGCAGAGCGTCTTTAAAAGCATCGTTCATCCCACCACCAGCGTTAGAAGACGGAGGAGCCACGCTGCTATAGTCTGCCATCTCTGCTGCTTTTCTCCGCTGCAGCGCTCTAAAATGGAGGCTTTCATTCACTGACGATGGCGCCGACAACGATCGCGATAGGATGCGTTATCTCGCGATAACAGACAAACAGAAAATGTGTGCTTGTGAGGGTCATAATATAATAAGTAACAGCAATACTAGTCTGCTAAATGAGGGAATTGAAATGTAGATGCTAATAGTGATGGATCCCCCTTTCTTCCCCTGCATTCAGCACCTGGAAACTGTGCTGAAGCAGGAATGACATCTCATTGTGAAATTTTTACAACCCCATAACTATTTGGCAATAGTTATTTCAGAAACACTATAAATTTCATTGTGCATAGATGGCTCAGCACAACTATTTTATTGCATACACATAAATGTAACAGAAGCTTGAAAATTTCTGATGGTATTTCCAATAATTTACTAAACATAACAAATAAGAACACATTTACACACAGAGTTCATCACATTATGTGTCTCAAGTTAATCATGCATCTACCCACAGTCAGGATTACTGTTTCTGGATGATTTCCTTCTCACAAGTAGAAAAGATCAAAATTGTGTAACAGAAGCCACTGCTGTGTCTTTAGGACAGTTAATTGTTGTTTCTCAAGGCTCCATGGAAGAAAACAGATTTTCAAATGTTCTTGTCAGAGTGTAGTTTATCAGCGCACATGGAATGGCCCTGATGAAGCTGGCCCCCATGCCATCGTAGAATCCTCTAAATCCATTTCTTTCATAAATCCCAATAAGTCCTGGTAATACCCCAGAAGATGGGCTTGACGCTAAAACAAAAGCTGGAAAATGAGAGAAAATATCACAATTAAAGTTTTATCTCAAACGTTTTTAGAACATAAAGTTGTTGTAAAGGTGGCAGACGTTACCCTGCGCTTGCTGCTGAGTTCGAATCACCGCCAGCGGGTAACTACTTATTTGCCCAGAGGCAAAAGCCACAAAGCTGAAGAAAAACAATTTGGAGTCACTCTTGTAGTCTGGATGGTTCTTCGCCCAGTTCATAATCGACTGCAATGAGAAACAAATGAGTGTATTTCAAAATAAAATATGTGTTAAATTATCAGTGTTGCCCACCTGGTGAACTGCACACTCCACACCAGCGTAGGGGATCATGCAAAGGATGCTGGGTTTGAAACCTCTGTAAAAGGAGGACATGGACTCGTTCCTGTAAATAGAACGAGCACAGGCCATGACGCCATTATAGGTGCCGGCTCGCTGCAGGTTCAGCCTCACCTTCAACACCTGTGGAACAGAAAAGAGGAGAACCACACTAAACAAAACCTCACAAATAAATTAAAGAGAATATAAACCATTCAGACCCAACTCTGATACCTCTAAGGGGTAGAAGACAGCATGAGCAACAGTTCCTGAGATGCAACCTAAACCAAAGCGCTGCTGCACCGTCAGGGCCTGCTGGCTTTGGTTTTGGGTGAGAACCTTCATCTGAATGGACGAAAGCATCTCTGAGCGTATTTATCAGTTAGCAACAAGGAGCTATTTGAGAGTTATCCAAATGGATAGCATGATGAGCTGTGCAGCACCTGTGCATAGATAAGACACTGCAGCGTTGACTGTGGAGTTCCTTTCAGGACATTGATAGTGTTCCCTTGCCACATTGACCTCAAACCACCTCCTTTAAGCTCCTGAAGCCCCTGAGAGAAGGCCTTAGATCCTTGAACCTGTGAAGCAAACAGGAAATAGGTTCAACTACCTTATAAATCTAAACCAACCTTAGCAATAGCAAAAAGATTTAGCTCTGCAGGTCGTATCTTTTCATATATATAGGATGGCTTGCCAGGCAAGGGTTCAACCATCTTTGAGTCTGAATGTTGTGCAGATCTTTGCAGTCAAACCTGCCTACAGTTCCCAAAAGCAACGACAGAATGAAACCCCACCTGAAGCTGGGTTTTCAGCCGGTCTATTGGTGCTGTGGCAGTACGGGACACGGCGTCAGAAAGACCTGCCACCAGAACAAACGTCTTCCAAGCACCAAAACCAGACACCTCATCTGGGAACTCAATGGGCATGGCACGACTCTCCCCTACATCGAAAACCTGCATCAAACTCAATCAATCAGCCGCCCATCCTCTAAGTTTATTTGAACCCGACTCAGTTAGAATACATTACCAAGTTGTGTTTCCAGGAGGACATGAGCTCCCCGATGCTGTCCACCGGGTTGAGGATGATGTGGTGCAGGAATTCACTCCAGTCCACCGTCATGGAGCTGTCCTTATCCATCCTGGTGAACGCAAACAGCAGCAGCAAATATCAGAAGTATCTTCATGTCACATCGCTCATCTGCAGATCAATGTGCAGATTTTTTATGATTTATAACATTTATTTTTTTTCAGTTTATGTGGTTTAGGTTGATTAAATTAAAAACACAAAAAATGCACACATTATTTTCAAATCATGATAAAAAATTTGACTTATTATTTTGTATTACCATCTAATAATAATGAAAAAACTTGTATTTTAGACGAATAAACAGGAATATCTTTTGCCAAGAATAAAATAAAAATCACCCGAGTGCAATAGTGGGCAAAATAGTCTTACATTTTTATAATTTTTTTTGCATTGGGCTTTGAAATGACCACTCCTAACTCCTTAAACAAACATATGATGTCGTCCTGGTCAATCACTCCTGATCAGAGAAGAGATACACACAATTACAAACACACACTGATTGTCCTGTTTTCCTAGGTGTCATGTGATGATGCTGTTAAAGGTTTCATGAGTGCAAAGGTCAGCGAAGCGCTGCAACTTCTATGTTTCTGTTCAAACTCTTTCTAGTTTGGATGTTTTATTGTGAAAAATGTAAGTTTGTTAAGGCGATGTTCTTGTTTTGGTCCAAATATCATTAAATCTGTTGATGTTATAATGTTTCCTGGAAAATACGATACACTGGTTGGTATTATCTTTCAAAATGTGTTGTTTGTTGCTCACCACAATTGTTCTTGTCAAGGTCATGAAAATAAATTTTCCACTTCCTCTCTCTGTCCAACATGTATCTGAGAAACTCGTCATAATCCAGCAAGCCGTCTTTGTTTGTGTCGTAAGAATCAACGATGCGCTAGAAGAAAATGACTTTTAAATTAATTTTAAATGAATTTGACACTATGAGAGTGATCGAGGTAGATGAAATGTTACCTGAGCCTTTCCATCTGCTGAGAGGATCCCATGTTTCCTCATTTCTTCGTGGAGTTCTGCCACCGATATAAACCCATCCCTGTTCTGGTCTAGTTTATCAAATAATCCTTGGAATTGATCCATTAATTTCTTTTATTGGAGAGTTGTTTTAGAAAATTTAAGATTTGGAAGTGCTAAAACAAAGTCTCCTCTTCACCCGGAGTCTTAAAATGAGACGATAAAGTGCTCCATGGTCATCAGAGATTATTGACCTGCAGCTCAAATGCTGACTCACTAGGAGAGCAGGGAGGCAATGCAGCAAGGAGTCTCAGTTTGAGGAGAGAAACTCACTTCCAGCAGGTGGTGCTGCAGGAGAAGCATCCATCACAATGTTCCTGAATCTGCTGTGATAGAAAAGATCATATAAATTCTCTAAAAACTGAAAATCAGCTGGTGTGGAAATGTGGCACCACACCACAGCTCTCAAGCTTTTGTATTTGCAATTTCACCCAACTATTCTGGATTTACACAACCTCAGCAAGATAAAAAAAAACAATTTTTTTTGCAAATACATATAAAATGTATATATATAAATAAATTAAGCTATTTTCTAAAAATGTATAGAAAATGTGGTTTGCTTCAGTAATAATAAGTTTAAGACCAACAGAATAAAATATTAAAGCGCGAGAAACCAACGTCCACCTATGTGGTTTCCAGGTTTCAGGAGGAGCTTCAAAGGAAATTTAAAACTTGGTATTTTTAGCTACTAAAGAAAAAAAGTGAAATAAGTGTGCTTAAAGAGGACTGAATGACTGGGTGGACATTAAAGGTGGCCAATATATTTTTTAAATGTACTACAGTGGTGTACAAATCACCAAGCTGAAAGGGAAAAAAAAGTTTTACATTTTAATTATTTGTAAATCTTCATAGATTTTTTTGGTTAGGTAAATAACACTCACATACTCCCCTTCATCACTGACAACAAGTGGAGGTAAATGTGTAAAACAAAATTTTAGAATAGCGAAAGTTTTGTAACCGTTTGTTTGTAAATGAATCAGTAAATGAATTTTGTCCTTGTGGACTCCTGTAGATGTAAACACGGCTTCTAATATGGTGTCGCCCAGAGACTTAGGGTGTGTCTCAATGCCAAGGAACCTCTCCTTGATGTCTTGGCCCTGCCCCGGTTGCCTAGGAGATACGTCATCAGGAACCACCAAGACGTGTTCCAACGTTCATGTTCTACCGAGGCGTGTGTTCTCCGTTTTATTAGCCGTTTAGCTAGCTGAGCAAGGATACATGGGAGGTGTAATGTAGCCTAGCTTTGGTAAAAAAAAATTCCCAGAATACACCACTGTTTTGTCAAACGGATGATGGATCAGAAGCTGGCAGCTACTTCGGTTTAAAAGTAAGTGTTTTTTTTAGATCCAAAGAAGTTATCAATGGTTGGTTAGTTGCAAGACATCGCCTTGCCAGACCAGGTGCCTTGACATTGAGAAACATCCTTAGACCCGCTCCCATGTATTGTAGACCTATTTTTTATGGTTTTATGTTACAAAGCCGCTAATATTTTTCAACAACTGGGCTTCAGTTCATTCAAACTACACATTGTCTCTTTAATAAAATGTCAATCTGCACAAACATTCTTGAAAAACAGTACAGGGCCGCACAAAAGCCATCTGAGGGCCACATCAGGCCCTTGGGCTGCAGTTTGAACACCCATGTTTAAAACCAAAACAAAGGTTGCAGAAAGTTTTTTCTTGCAGACAAGACAGTTGGTTTGACATTATTCAGAACGTCTCCATTATGGTGAGCAGCTTGTGCAACATTCTTCTTTCTACAAATCTCAGCACAAAGCCATCCTTTTTTCTATTTATCAGTTTGTTCATTTTCTTTGAGTCACTGTCTCTGACTCTTCTGCCACAGCAGATTGCTCTTTTCACCAGACTTTGCAGAGTTGTGCAACATCTTGCTGAAAATGTTGAAGAACTCCTCACCTAGAGTGCTGAAAACCACCTCAGCTTACATTCAGGATCAAATTGTTATTATATTATAAAATATTTCAGCAGAAAATGAGAAAAGTTGGTGTGTTTTTTTTTAAATCATTATCTTCCTGGACTGTATTTACATTATAGATAAAGATTATTCTTGATTATTATTATTTTTTATGTTTATGTGCGCAGAGTTGGTGGTGGTATGGTGTAAGCTCAGGTGTGTTAGCTCTGTGCGGTGACGTCATAGTTCAAACGCCACGAGCAGGACTTTTTGTCCTTCCTCACCTGTGCCATGTGTCCAGGACCCACCATATAGTGAACTACGAGCCTCAGCATTTGTTTTTCTAGAATAAGCCGCTGGACTCCAGCTCAAACTGCATCAAGCTGGACTCTGGAGGGAGCTAAACCGGAAATTGACCTAAAAATTAAAGGCAACGCTGACGTCACGATTTGCAAATTGAAAATAATGCATAAAAATAATTTACTTTAACTAATTACATATATTTATCACCTAAAAATATTTATGTTTACTTACAGAAAACATTAAGAATAAAAATAATTATAAAATCAAATGAAACAGACATTTTACGCGTTACGTAAACCGGAAGTAGAATTATTGATTAAGTCTAACTGGACTCGTTTCTGTATGAGAGGGAGGGGGTCTGTGTCTATTTAAAGAGGGTGATCCAGGTTCAGATGAATGACGGAAGCTCCACAGCTTTGGTCATCATCCAAATGGTCTTCATCCTGAGCTGCAAGTCAGATTCTGACCGTTTATTCTTCACCAGTTTGCTGTGAAAGCCTTTAGTCGAGAAGAACCGGGTGTACCAGCTCCTCGGGCGGGGGGGCTTTTGCTTGATTTTGGTCATATATTTTTAATAGATGAAAAATGGGAAGAGACTATTACAAGACGCTGGGAATCGCCAAAGGAGCCACAGAGGAAGACATCAAGAAAGCGTACAGAAAACAGGCTCTGAAATGGCATCCCGACAAAAACAAGTCCGCGACCGCTGAGGAGAAATTTAAGGAAATCGCCGAGGCTTACGAAGTCCTGAGTGATCCGAAGAAACGGGAAATTTATGACCAATACGGAGAGGAAGGTAATGTGGAACCCGATTTAGAGACCCGTTTCTGGCTTTAAACACATTCAAGTCTCACTCTGCAACCAGCAACCCTAAAGGCAGAGAACAGCTGTTCAACAGATTATAATCCCACCAAAATATAAATTTTACAGTAGGGAATTTTACTGCATCATATTTAACTCTGGATTTGAAGGTCTCTTTCTCAAATGTTTCTGATCCACACAACGATGCACAAAAATGTAATTTTATTCAGTACCAGGGAAAAGTGTGAATTTCCAGTCCAGATGGCCTTGGGTGGAAACCATGTTCTCTGACTCATTTTTTACCTTGAATATTGCCAGAAAAAGCCAGAGAAAAAAGGTGAGAAGTGAAGCCAAAGCCTTATTAAACAGGCATCTTTGTTCAAAGGAAAACCAAATAAACAATTGTCATTTATTCATGAAAAGTGTGTGTGTTTAGGCAAAAGCTGAGCACACTTTTCTGAGAAGAAAATTGGTCAGACTTAGAATATTCATTTTTAATTTAAATTTTGTCTTTATTTGTCTAAAGAAACCTGATTAGGGGAACGTTTTTGGTTTTATTTGAATCATTGATTGTCTAGCACTTGCTTAACTTTTTAATATCTTATTACAGCCCTTAAATACCTTCAAATGATAACATCCAGTCTTAAATAAGTTAATTTCTACTCTATTCTAAAAGGTTTAAACTACTTAAAGTCAACCAGTAACCAAGCAAAGTGACACAAATTTGAGATAATCCAATAAAGCATAAACATTTTAAAAATTGTCATAAATAAGCCAAAAATATTAGGAACTACTATTTTCTTCAGTTTTATTATTTATAGCTTTATATTAAAGAAGCCTGGACTGTATGATGCATCTTTTTGGAAGATTTTTGTGTTAAGGTGCAATAAAGGTGCAATATGTAAGAAAGACATACACTGTAACCCTGAATGAGTTCACTGAACTCAAAATTTATGAGGAAACTGATTACCTAATAATTTTTAAGTTAACTTATCTAAAAACTATAAGTTTAACATAACTTAAAAAAATGACCTGAATAAAATCAAAGCATTTAACTACCTCCAACCTATAACTTAGTACTTAAGCAACTTACAAAGTTTAATTTCACTAAACTTGCATATTTTATTTTGTTAGAACTTTATTATGTTTTTACTAACCTAAATATTATAACTTAAATGAACTCTAAATGGACCTATTAAACCCCAACCCAAATAAGTTGAATTTGCTTAAAAATGACAATGTGGCAGGCTGTGAAGGCAGTAACTAACTCCAGATCATGACTCACACGCCAATTAATGCTACCAGCCAATGAAAGTGGAACACTCAAAGTCAAGTTAAGAGCATCTGGTGTGAACAACCACAGTATTATTAACAATGGGACGGCACAGCCGTACAGCATTATTTTGACCAACCTCCTCACTTATGGTGCCAACATGATACAAAAAGTAACACCACATCTGCAACACTGAATGAAATAATAACTGAGAACAACAGTCATCCACAATAAACATGCATAAACACCCCAAAATAGAGCAAAATAACTGAAAACATGACTACCCACCATGCACCTCCCCCACCAGTTGTATATTGTTCCTGAAATCCAACAAAATTGCTAGTTTGTGGTTGTTTTTCTTGCAAATCCACAAATATTTAAAATAATATACAAGTCTGTTTATCAAACACACTTTAGGGTTGACGTGAAGATGAATGGAATAATATAGAAACATAAAATAATAAATCAATCATTTTTGGTGAATATTACTCATTAAAGTTAAGTTGTCGTTTATTGATTAATTTAAG